TTGTGAAGCGAGTGAAAAGGCGCATTCTGCTTTCATAAAAAACGTCGTATCGACGATTCTCGCGATACCATTACGAATTTATTCCGGCCAACGATGATAACACTTGAGAGTCTGCGTTGTACAGACTACCTAATCAAACATACCTTCCGGTGTAGTATGTGGTTGATACGAATCATGTCCAATGTCCATCATTGAATATGATCATGCAGACCTAATTTTGACGAGCTAATTTAGCAATAGGTTGCTCCAACTCAGTACAGGCAGGTGCTATGATTGAAATCGAACGCAGAAAACCAAAATAGTGGTTCCTAAACATTCTTATAAAAATACTAGCCTCATTTCTTTGATTGTAACTATCTTTAGTGTAACGAAGAAAACAATTTATGAAACTGTTTGTGAATATAGATGCAAATTTTTTTCTTTACACAGATTTATTTATCTTGCAAAAGAGTAAATTATGTTTGTATTCTTATCCTAGGTATACACCCGGAGTTTCCTTGCCATGCATGATATTTAGAAGAGTTTATTCCTGAGAAACTAACCGTTGCCTAAATTGAATTTCCTCATGAGAAAAACTAAATTGATTTAGTCTTTTGACTAATATAAACATGCCTGGATATGATGTATAAAACTGACTTGTGAATTGTGTTTACAATTACATGTAAAGTTTACAGTTTAAAATAACAATATTACTGTCTGTGTGGAGTTTATACCTTTTACCATGAATTCATAACTTGCACTTTAAATTATCAACATTAATATTTACAATTGTAAGTAGTTGAACATAGCTTTGCCACAATATTAACTACAGAGATTAAAAAAAAAAAAAAAAGCTCTAAATCTATTTTATACAACCAAGGAAGTGCAGAGAATCAAAATGGAGGCCTTATAAGCGCCGACGATGGATGGATGAAACTTATCGTTTGTGGGTTGGTCAACTCTTTTTTTTTTCCTCACCGTTTGGCCTCAAATTTTCTGGTATTAGATCATCAACATGTTCTACTCCAAGCGAGATTGCTACCGTGAGCCAAAATAGGTTTGGACTTCAGGGTTCCATTCGGTGTTACTCGATAGTTGACGATGACTGAAGGACTTCCTCACCAACAGAGCATCGTGAGTTCTCACACCAAATGACGAGTTTAACACTACAGTGTAAGGACTCGATAACCTTGTCACATTAGACTTCTGCATCAGATCAGAACAACTTATCACTAATCGTAAAGCTTGATAGGACTCGATAACCTTGTCACATTAGACTTCTGCATCAGATCAGAACAACTTATCACTAATCGTAAAGCTTGATAGGACGCCTCGCAACAGTTACAAAATTAATGATTTTGTTGACATTCGCCAAGAATGGAAACGCTAGGTCAAATCAGATTGTACTTGTATGCTAATTTCGACCTTTTCTTCTTGTTCACCTATAAACCCTTGATGTACAGTAAGATGTTGACCTACATCATAGTTTACAGCATCAGCATCTGCAGAGTCTCTACTTTCTGTGAACAGCAATCTAGCTTCCACACGTGTGCAGAAATCCAGATGCACGTTTCTGCAAATTCATACATGGTCGCTTGTCAATTCGCAGCGGAATCCTTGTCTCCAGTCTTCTCTCGAAAACTGTATACCAACTGCCAACATAAGCTTTACATTTGTCCATCGAACTACCGGTGGTGATTCAGAGTCAGGCTCATCCATTACTGGAAACGTGAGACGTATTTCCAGAGAACCTATTCAGTCAGGTGTTTTTTATGTTTGCTAATTTTCTAGCATGAATTATGGGCATTTGATAATCAGGCTACGGATGATCAATGTAGAAGATGTGATCAAGCTTCCGCAGAAAACAGTCGCCTTGAAAAGAAACAGAAACTCTAATTTAGGGTTTGCAGACAATATGGTGTTACTAGATGAGTCGCTCAAACCTATTAGACTGGCGTGGAAAGCTGTGCTCAGAATCAGCTGGTAATACTCGGAGTTAGGACTTCAAGGGCAACCAAATGTTCGTGGTTTGAACCCACTGAATACAGGGTCAGCGCAATCTTCACAGAAATGAGTCTTGACTGCCCGTCGTCACCTAGACATAAATCGACGAACCCATGCATCAAGGACAAGCAGTTGATGACTCTCCTGCAAACCCTAGCGCGGTTCTCTGGATCAGTCCAATCCTTGAACCGTGCTTCACGCTAGGGTATGTATCAGCTGTAAACCCCCACTTCACCATGGGTGACTTCTTCATGCTGGGAAGCCGCAAATATGAACACTCTCAATGACGAGAAATTCAGACTGTACAACAACGATGGCATGATTGACGATGAACTTCAGAAGGTTTGATCCATTGTGAAATTCACCATCACAACCTTGAACTAATATTGTCGTCTACAACACTTACATTTGGTTTGAGGAAAACGGCAACTGCCTCGAGGCAATAAACAGGAAGATTGGAAATTATCACGTGTAGTCCGTGCTGGGTAGATAAATGAATGGAGTTTACTTGGGTCCCCCGCCGACCAGTCTGATCTTCTGCAAAATCGAGATGAACAAATTAGAGTATCCACACTGTACTACGTCAGAGTTTTGAGCCGCCCAAAACGAGTGAGTACTATCCATATGGCAGATGGTGTTTGGTGCAGTCCGTAAGTCTATCGAGAGGCTAGGATACGTCCATAGAAATTTTAACGTGAACGAATCAAACAATTCATTGCTTCACTAGCTGTACACAAAAAAATTTCCATAACAATTTAATTTTTTCATGCAAAGCAATCGTTCTCCCCAAGCGATAAACTCTAATACAATTTAACAGATGGTGGACGCCAGCAGTTACGCTGGCGTCCACCAGTGGGGACGATTACTTTTATGCGGGCTTCTGAACTAAGAGAAAGCTTAATTATTCACAACCCTTTTGTTTGCAGATATGGATATTCCTTACAAGAGCAAAACTTCCAGTTGAAAGTGGTGATTAAGCACACAAGCTTGGGCTTTAGGCATGACAAATGCAAAATCAGTAAGAACACAATGCAGTTTGGTCAAGTCTGTAGAAATCAACTTGCGTGGAATGATGCCCTTCCAAGATTCGTAGCATGACCTGTGACATGTGGGATGAGGTGATCCAAGCATCAATCACGAAACTGTTACCTCTATAAAGTCATAACTGTACGAACAATTTCGAGGAAGTGTGCAGTGGTCTCATACTTACTTATCTCATCTTAGACCTGCACACACCTCACAAGGAGCAGCCTACATTGATGGCAGCCAGGTTTAGCAAAACTGAACGTCACGGCTCCTCTGTCGAAGATGCATGTGTACCAGCAAACGAGTCTCACATGCTTGCACTTACCATCTCGGATTCTACCACCAGTCTCACGGATGGCAAGCTGCCACGTCACACAAGAATGATTCATACTGGATGGTAACTTTATTGATCTGTCAATGATCTTTAATGATTCGCCTCAGATTCAATACTACACAGATTTGGGTGCTTCAGCCAAAACTTCTAACGCATTGATATCTCCTGTCTAAATTTAGTTCGTCCACATCGTCCACACTTCAGTTCGTGGCAGAAGCCTATTCTTTGGTGCAGATTTTTCCCGGCAGGCAACATGGTACTCACGTGTTCAGTTCATCAATCTAGTGAAAAGTCTAATAAGTGATGTTTCCAAAAAAAGGAAACAATATTTAGCACAACTATGTGCTTTCATATGTTTGTTTGCTGTTCATTCATTCATTCATTCATCTTTCTTGCTTTTTGTGAGCCACTTTGACTTTATCAATCTTCTCTCTTGCTGTGATAACCATCACCTTGCCTACAAAAGAACCCACATTATCATCTACAAATTTCAACTTTTATCTAATTTATCAAGAACAAATGGTTATAACCAACAAGGGGGTTTAGGTCTACGTCTCGTCTAACAAGAATGTCTTATAAGTGTATTGTAAGCTTGTGTTCTTTGCAGAGAAAGATATTGACATTTTTTCTCATTTGTTTTACGACAAAAAGTATGATACCACTGCCATCTACTTTGGTCTATTCTACTGCACTCTTTTACAAGCATGTCCATGTTTACATGAGAAATTTTCTTGATGGGACCCCATCAGAACGCTGAATGCTTGATGGGACCCAATACGTTCCATTTTACCCGATGGGACCTCTCCGACGGGTCACCGTCAGTTATGTTCTTGTACCTACTTTGTTTCCACTTCAATGAAAAAAAGAAATTCTTCCCGAAGTTAAGTTAGTCAGATTTCCCATGGCTCACAATCTTCATCATGCAAGAGCCCAATTTCTCACGTCCCAAAATGATTTTACAGTTGTATAGGTGTAATCTACTTACTCCTTACTTTTTTTTTCTAAAACTCTTGGCCGAAGTCACGTATTTTGGTCCGTGAAGTGCCTACGGGGAGAAGTCACTTTTCAACAAAGAGCCGCAGTGCTTTTCCTCAAAGCACTGCGGCTCAAAGCAATTACAAGAACTCGTAGAAGAACATCGGTGACGATGGACTTTACTGCCGTCGGAAAGGTCCCATCAGGTAAAATGGAACGTATTGGATCCCATCATGCATTCAGCGTTATGATGGGTACCATCAAGCAAATTTTGTATGTTTACATATACAGTTCCATATAGCTCTAGTATTATAATATTAGACAAGTAACCTCTTTTCGCACAACTTTTCCTTGGATACCTTGGCTGTTGCAATGGTAATAACGTATAATTAGCTTCTTTGAAAAACTGTTGTATGTGCAATCTGTTATCATGACATTTCCAAAAGTGTCTTGGTTTGTTCATGTCATATCTAAATAGATTTTTTTAGGGCCTCAAGAGGGGCCTCCAAGTTAGCCACAACCCTCTTTTATTAATAATGACGTCACCTTCTTGCATGCATGTACATATATTCTCTTGACCCATCACATCATCTGCGCGAAAAATGCATGTGAAGTACGACAACGGTCCAAACTCCAAAGTTTACGTACAGCTGAAGATCTTCAAGTATTGCCCTACAGCATCATGGGATATCATGAAAGGTCCTGTACAAAGGCGGGTACGAACAGACCACGCCGTGTGGAATATTATGATATTCCTCACAGCCAATGTGAACGAGGGATCGGGATTTCCGCCGAGGTCATCACCGCCTGCGAACTTACCAACCAAAACAAAACAGACCGAAACGATGGAATTCGGCGGTTGTGAGGTCAGAGTCAGTTGAAGCTGTCCATGACCACACGTAGCAGGTTGTACAGTCTCGCCCTAAGATGCGGCTGTGGCAACATGTTCAGTGAATGTTATGTCGTTGTTTCTGACGAGTGTCGATCTTGTGACGGCGCTCTCCGGTTACTAATCAAGACTGCCCATTGGAAATCTTCTATGCGTGATCGCTTGGATTCCAGAAGGTCGAACGAGGGAAGCGAGGGAGTTCTTGCACATCACAGGGCTTCTTTACGGTGACATTGGCCACAACAGTCTATGAGTTTGCATGTACATTTTGTTTGAGACATGTACATTGCCCGAAATATCTTTCGTGGACATGGTTGATTCTGCAATGATGAAGACGTGGCTGGATTGCACACGGAGTCGCACGGGAAAAACTCGCGGAAAGAACTAAAAGTGGTCAATCTGAGGAGTACAGTGGCAAATGTCTGCAGCGGATTCACAGGAATGAACTTCATCGTGAAACCCTTATCAGTGTAGCATTGCAGCTGTGCACAGTTACATTTGTCCACCGGAAGTTCCTCGCAGACTTCGAGTAAAACATCGGACGTGTTTCAATATTCAAGGTTCGTACCTTGAACTTCAGAGGAACTATCTGTGTGCTCGAGTGTACCTCTTGATTTAACGGGAGCTGGCTAGCCGTGGAGTGACTTTCATTCGTTGACAATTTTATCGGAAGCTAGACTTTGTTTGATATACCTGACCACCGCAGGCCTTGTATGAGTATTTGGGATCTATACACATTTCGATCGGTCTGTGAGCTGACCCCTACTGACTTCGTCTGGTCACCTTAAAGTTACCAATAAGTCACGAAATTGGTTTATTCTGTCCTCATCTCATTACCAGGTGATTTGGATATGCACACATTTCGTATGAATAGACATACTCCACTTGATGTGACCTCTCATTTCATTACGTCAATCTCTTGATCATTTCCTGTTTGATGTCTCCCCGCAGGAGCTGGTAACTGTCAGGTTGACCTTGCCGAGTGCCGTCGACCAGTGGGTGTTGGCAGTCAGCTGCTTCTCAGTTTGATTCTTGTGAGCTCTCAACGACCAGCCGTGTCTGCTCACCGCGCTGGGCCGTTGATTTTTAGAGGGAATCTGATCCAGTTAGTACATGCATGCACTTCCGGGAGTGACGTCTGGCGATGAAGAAGTCAACATCAATTTAGGTTCTTGTTGCAAGTGCGGTATCAGTAGGAGCTCAATCGAACATCGACAATGTCATACCTCCAACCACTGCAAGAAAAATGCAGTCTGTCGAGACCTCCAGCGCTTTCCTCCACCTCCGGTCACATGTGAAAATCAGTCCCTCTCCATGTCAGGTGATCCTACCTTCACCGGTCCTGGCCATCGGTTAGGAGAAGAGCATGAGTGGACGGGGAATTCTCTTTCCGGCTTACATATTTGGGTCGATTTAGGTGACATCCTAAGTTCTCCGAATAGGGAGTGTGCAGTTGCCGCCGCTTCTGGATCGAACTCGGAGTTGATTGTGGATCTGGATTTCCAGGGTCGGTGCCGGGAAGAAGCTGTCAGTTACACGAAGTCTGCTCTCAATCACGAGCGTAAGACTCCTACCTGCCCTGCTGATTATGATTTCGATTCAATTGAGGGCCGGCTACTGCAAAGTCATAGTCACATCAACACAAAGGCAAAAGAGGTGAAAGTGGCATATGGGGCACCATTAATTGGTGAGGAAGATTCAGACACTGGGCGGTGCAAGGATGAGAGTGGCAAAGCGAGCCATATTGGGAAAGAAAGGAGAGTGAAGCGGGTTCGGTTTTCCGATCATGTGACGACGATTTACTTCCCGGAATTTGATGTGAAGGAGGTCATCCTTTCCCACGATGATAGGAATTTGCACATTGATGATTGTGGATCATCTGCGGGTATTTCGAGGGTTTTATACTCCGACAACATTGTGGAAGGCAGTGTACTGACAAACCCAAATGACGATTCTGGGAGCGAGGAGAGAAAATCGGTGGCATTTGACACTGCGCAAGCGGATGCAGGTCCTGCTGATTCCGTAGTGAGTCTGCAGGTTCAAACAGATGAGATCTGTGAGCGCCAATCTAAGAGTGAAGACGCATTGGAGAATTTTGACAGATCAGATGTTTTATCCAAAGACGTGGACGCAACGAAGATGTCATTAGGCTTTTCAACATCTACGTTCTTGGATTTATGTAGCGGCTGCAGCAATGTTAGACCAGAAAATCATGTTAGCCTATGGGAATCTGAAAGTACCATGGGTCAGAAATGGGCAACTTCTTTTGACGCTCCGAGCCAAGTAGGAAATGTGGGCAGTGAAATGGACGATCCAGATTTTGAGACCACGATTATTTCTGCGGAAATTCTTACGTACTGCGTCGATAGGCTTTTCGCCCTAGATCCTTCACTTAGTTTAGCAAATGGGCATGGGCCCTCGTGGACTATAGACTTTTGTGAAGACAGTAGGAAACTTACTTTCAAAAGGAAAGGGAAGGCAAGAAAAGGAGACAAGAAGGCAAGCAAAAGACGAAAGCAGGACGAGGCACCGTCACGCTCAAGATGGGGACTAGATTGCAGTTTAAGCAGCGATGACTTGGAAGCGGATGATGATGTGTTGGGCAGACCGCTTTGGAGGAGACAATACAAGTCCATCAATGCCCTGGCATCGTAGCTGACATAATTTGTACATATTGTAAATACAAAAAGTGCCGAGCCTCGTGAGTTTTGTCTTTACATTTCGTGTAAACTTCTAGCATTCTCTGACATCTTAGCAGTGCATTTTTTGACAGTGAAGTTGATCATCACTACAGCTGCCAAGAACTATAACATAAGTTTAATGATGAGTTAAAAGAGTATTAAGAACGAGGATTTCATTTATTCTGACATACCAGTAGTTCATATTTTGTTGGAATACAGTGAAATTTTTATAAGATATTTATCTTGTAAGAAATTTCTTTCTCAAATTAATCATAAAGTACAGGAAAGAGAAAGAAAAAAATTAGATGGAAAGGGTAAACTCAAATAAAGTTGAAGGTATATAAATGTCTGATATGACTAAATACAACATGTAATGCAACCTAATGTGGGCACGGATTGAGCGGGGAGTCTGTGATGGGAAGGAGAGGTGCGTAGCACTCTACCATAGGGACAGCGTTTTATGAATAAAAGGCAAGGAAAGAGATTTATCATACACATATCATCATAGACCAACAGAAATGTACTCAGAATTTTTTATTGAAATCTTTAAACATACAAATTCTAGAGAGAAGACAATGAATCAAAATAATTTGAGTCTTAATTACTTTGAGTACAACTTAGAGCAGTCACTATTTAGCTTCATATGTTCATTTAGATGATAAATATTGCCTGGATATAACATTGCATAGATTTTCATGAATACAAATGTATCAAAAATGCCCCCCAAACGTAAGGATAGTTGTCTCTCATTCCAAATATCCATCTGATACATGCAATAATGTGCTTCTTGGGAGCCTAAAAAAAATGTGTGTTACATATCATCTCATTATTACTCACATGTTTGTCACTCTTATATCAAATGGTAAAACTAGCTTTAACTATCAATGTCAATTACAATATACCCATTGTTAATTAGATATCACAGTCAAAATAGGTGTCAAATATGGACATTTCTTTTCTTCAATAATAGTCATTATACAAGTCTACTCTCAAAACATTTATTTAAAACCTGCTCATATAAGTGCAAAACTTGAATTTATAGATCCATCAATGATAAAAATGTTACATAAAGCAGATTTCCATAAATTGAATATTTGAATCACATCATTAAGATTCTTCAATACCAGTATTCTTAAAATCAAAAATCCTACAAGCTTGTAAAATCAAATTTTTCATACAATGTGGTTGATAAACTCTAGCAATAAATGTTAACATCAACATGAATTTTTTAGATTCGAAAGTGAATATCTTCTGTTTAAATGCCAATATGATGCAAACTATACTTATGTTGCTCATACTTAGAATCGTATATAAATAAATACAAAAAATTCAGATCTTTACCTCATGATAAAAATATGGTGAAACTAAATCAGGATTGCTTGACTAAATATCAATCAAATTGATATTCAGTAGCCTACCATGCTACCTTAATGTCAAAGTCTTATAAATTAGTTTCCTTCAAGTCAGAATATATTATTTCATTCATTTTATTATTACTTTCACATACAATAAAGTGCTAAATCCATGAACTAAATGTCGGGCATCGTGAAAAAAATACTCAGATTCTTATTCCAAACCTTGGTCCAAGTAAAAGATCCCTTCACCTTTTGAGTGGGTTTCAAAAGCCGTTTGACATCTCAAGAGATTAAGAACTGAAAATAATGTTTTGAAGTGATATAACCGTCCATCAAAGCTTAACCTGAAAAAACGTAAATGCATCAAATTGACTATGCCTCAACGCTAAGACTGCATGAGATTTTCTCCCATTGAAAAAGTTACATTTTATGGAAGTTTTTTAGTGGGAAAAAATTCATCCATTAGATCATGATATATGTATCATAACCCGCATATAATGAAGACTTTAATAACCTATAATAAAGTTTGTCCAACAAGAACCAAGTTTCAAGCATCATCGTTTCATTTATGATTTTATATACTTAACTTATAGATGAATTTTGACGTAATTTACCAGCATATCATCTTGTATCATTACTCACTTGCACACAATAGTAAAATGATCATCTCATAAATAAAGACTATATACTTCATCTTTTTTTTTAGCTTGTTTACTGTGAATCATTGCTGCTGAATAAAAATATTATTTTTTTAAAAAGAAATATCATTTGTGTCAATTTGAAAACAAGTGCTGGACATTGTACTTCAAAGAAATATAACTTTGATCTTGCTTAATTTTTAAACTATCAAATCAATTATTGCAAACTCTTTCATATCATCATTGTCAAAGTAATAAAATTTTGTTCTCAATTAGAGCATATTATATGTTTTACATATATAACACTTTTTAAAACTTGCGGGAGATCTCGTTATGCTTCTTACCTTAAATTGGCTTCGGGGGTGCCAGGCATGTGCTGGAATATAGTCTAATGTGTTGAAGATAGAGAACGAGGTCAAAATGGTTTTTCCGCCCCGGGACTGTCTGACAAGGACACGAGACCTTAGGAAGAGGCACTATGTGCTAAAGCCACTACGTGCATTCAATCTACAAGCCCCCTCCCTATAATCTCGCGCTCCCTTACAACAGACAAATAAAATATGTAGTAAATGAGCCTTGCGGAGGCAAGGATAAAAAGTGGTTGCATTTTAACTAAAATTTATGCATAAATGTAAAATTTCCATTTCCCATTGATTTTTTGATGTGAAACTAATTTGGCATTCAATTCAAATCTACTTGCATTATGCATTCAATCTTCTTCTTAAATAAGAAGGATTTAAATAACCTTGATTCTTTGCACACATTTTTCATGAAACTTTTCAAGTCTAAATACTCTTGACCATTATACATTGTTTGAAAATTCTGAACTCATTCACACATATTTCATTTTGATTTATTAAAATCTTAGTATTTATCCAGGTTTTTGATGAAGCCAAAATCTACGTCCGATTTCGAAATATATTACTTCTTTTGAATGCAAAATCAATAACTAAGCAATCAAATTTTCTGGATTTTTTTGAAAAGTCTCACATGCATTACTACTGTACAAATTTTTTAAGAAAATTTCATTAATGAATATGGCGCGCAACAAACAAATCTGAGTTAGATAGTTGTTATCATCCATTGATAAATTTGGATACATTGCTAAGACCAAATAAAAAATACGTCAAATCCACAAGAACTCTTTGGCATTCAAATTGATTATTCGAAAGATTATGTTGATCTTATATTCATTTCAAATTCATATTTGGTAATTTCTTTTCGCAAATTTCAAAAAAAAATTCAACTGCTTGAAATATGTTTCAACCCTTATTCTACCATATCCATCAAAATTTTTATGATGATTATTGGTTCAATCAATGGTAGTCACACATGATATTATCTTTATTAATATAATGCATATCATTTTTCAGTAAAATTATCAAAAAAAATTATATCAAGCTTTTGACAGTTATATCGATAACGACTCTAAAAAATTAACATTTAATGTGAATCATAACTTTTTTCATACTGCAATTTCAACAGACATGATTGAAGTACTATGCATTAGTCTCAACATCAATATGTATATCAAGTCAGTTTTATGAATCATAGGTTTAAAGTTTGAAAAGCCAAAGAAACATTTTAGCTTTATTTTTGTTATTCCACTCTTAGACTCATATCTATTTAGATTTGTTTCTTTTCACACTATATGAAAAATTAATATCTAGTGTTGAAAAAAAAAAAAGTTTTAGCAGATTTTGATTGTCTCATATCATGTTTCACGAGCCTAATGTGATCAGATTTTTAACAAAGTCTTGCAATTGTACTTGAATTGTAGCAAAAACTTCTATGATTATTAAAATGATTATTTTTTCCACATTCAAAAAAATTAGTTCATACTCAAGAACCAAGTACAAATGTATAGACAGTTATTGGTAGTAGTTTAATCTTCATCATGTTGGTAGGAATATAGCTTGATAATGATAATTGATCACACTTTGAACACACAAAAATATTAATCAGTCAACTACCCATTATATATATGCAATGGTTTAGATGTATGGAATACTTCAACACATGATTTTGTGATAAGTCCAATGTAATATTAATATTTTTTAGTGCAATCTGTTTTCTTATCAATATTTTACATCAATCACTGCAAGTGAAAATTTCATAGAGTACTCTTTTCTTCTTTTTCTTTTATGACTAGGAAGATGGTGTTGTCAAAAATGTGGATGATGAAGCTCTTATATATGTTGTATGTTTTTCGCCTTCAAGGCCTATATGTGAGCATAGATCAATATTTAAACTTATCCAATTGTATGCAAACTTTTATACGCTGTGATATCCAAATGTATCATGTCATATGCTAATACACAAGTTCAAATTTTTGCTGCATTGCGCTTTAGTTCTAGTATAAGTCATGATCAAATCAAATATGCATCCATTATAACTTGCACATAGACATGAATCAGAAAATGGTTCTATTGATTGAATAAGTACTATATTTGTGACCATTGTGAGCTTAAAATAACATTTGAGTCAAACAAATGTGGTAATCAAATTTATGATCATATGTTAGTAAAGATTTGATGGACAATCCTGTTGTCGTACTCCCAATGTCATCAAGTTGATGGACCCATCGGAACCTAAATTGTTTGATGAACCCATCAAGTTTTGTTTTGTGACCCACTATACACCGTGGAGGGTGGGGCCAGGTCACGCCCCGGGATGAGCTGTAAACCCCATTCCAATGGCCGACGGGATAGTGACTAAACTGAGAACTGGTCGTGAAGTTCTAAAATGTATTCCTGAGCATATGATGAGATCTCTAATCGTGATATTAGTGACGGCCCGAACTCCTTGCTATCGGAGACTCGACTCGTTCCGTCACGTTCGAGATGGTCATCGTTGTTCCACGACCATATCGAACAAGCTTTGATAGATGGAGAGGGCAGCCAAGGCACCGCCTATTTTAGAACAAAGTGGTCAATCTGATCTCCGAGCTTGCCGCAGCTGAGCATCGATCTCCATCTCGGCTTCGTGGCCTCGTTAATGCACAGCTTCTCCGCATGGAGCGTCTCGCCGTGTTCAGCATCAAGTCATGCTGGTGGTGTCCATTATATAATAATTTACCGTAATCAATCAATACTGATTTTGATTGAGTGATATTCCGAATTTTGATGTTGCAAAAATTTGTGTAATAATCCTCGTACATCTAGACCCCTCGAGACTGCAAGGATGCAGCCAGTGCATATACAGGATGCGGATCGGACAAGGCTGGATTTTGTGCAATGCTCTGCTCGGACTGCAATCAGTTGCTCGATTGTTGTCGGAGTTGCTCGATTTCGTCACATTGCTATGTTGCTATCGAGAGTCGCGATCGCTGACAGAGTTCCACTGCCTGCAACTTCTGTTAATAATATGCTTGACGTGTATTGTCATAGGGGTACCATTGGGTAAAACAAAAGTTAAAGTGTCCCAGTAAGCCATTTACCTTCCCAAGGGTACCAATCAAGTAAATACGTCTTGTTTTGAGTTCGAATATTTGTGTTACATAAGACCAGGGTATTAAAAGCCTTGTCGCAAGCAAAACCAACCCCTGTTTAGCAATAATTGCGATATATATTAACAATAATTGAGCTTTTTTAGGGCCAAGGCTTAGGCCTGTGCTACTGGGGTAATGAAATGATGTGAAGCTTGCAGGTATGGAAACTGATAGGATCTTTAATTTCTAAAGAAACTCACTTTCTTTGAATACTGCACATATTACGTATTCAGAACTTAGACGTGTTTAACATTGATTTATATCAAGATCAGTGTAATCGCTAACGCGGTTGCTACAGCCCCGAGAATTACCTGAACTGAAATATTCTCAGTACCTTCACCCTCTACTTCTGAGCTTGTGATTCAGAAGAGCAATTTAGCTCGGTATAGCATTGTCCCTGACTTACCAGCACTGGACTGGTTCTCACGAGTATTTTCACGAGTAAAATTGTAGAACTTCAACTCTTCCTTGATATTGAAATTCATGTCCTGAAGAATGTTTTTAAGAGGTACAATAATATTTTTCTGAGTAGACAATATATATACAAGATCTTTGGAATATTAAATGATGACAGTGATACTACTCAAATGATGATGACAAAACGTGGAAATTATTACCAGACTACCATATATCTTTGGATTGTTAACAATTGCGAGACTTTTGTTATTCAACTTTTTATCAAAATGTAATTGGGATGGTGGTAAGATCAAAATTACGTAAATTTATTGTACAAATGACTATGACAAGATATAAGTTGAGCAGTGACATATCACTCGACAAAAAAGGACTTAGAACCTAATCCTTTCTACTTTATTCCAATCTCATTACTAAAATTATTTGGCAAATCTTTGAACCATATAGTCTTACAGCTCACCACAGCATATCTTGGAGATTGTACACAAGCTCAACATGGAATACAAGATCACAATCACCCGAGCGACGAATCTCATTCCCAATTTGGATTGGGCTAAATTTTTCCCCATCTTTATCATGAACTGGTTGTTTGCTTCATGTCACTGGAGATAGGCAAGAAGAGAATAATATGAGCCAACAAAGAATTAGTTTGACTATAATGATAATAGAAATGAGATAATTTGAAAAGGAAATTATTCAGAGATAGGAACATTGTCGGTTCGTATCAACAGAATCAGAATGATTCCTCAATCAAAAGCAGAGAGAGTGATTTTTATCTCTGTGAGAAACATATTTGGAAAAACCCCTAAAAAAATATAAAAATTAGAGATATAAGAAGATAATTGTTTTAACGCACGAATGTTTGGAATTTCATACCGTGTATTTGTTTTCGTGGTTGCTCTTGTCATTGACTTTCGCGTGACAAGGGGTGCTTGATCATCTGCTACCCACTCCGAGCCATTGTATGCATCACCTTGAAAAGCCTTTGTGTCTGAGTTCATACTTATTTTGCTTTCATGGATTGGGAGCGAAGATCTGAAAGCGATAAAGAACGACTTGAAGCTGAAACCTCTCTTCTTTTCCTGTTTGCACACGATTCTCACTTCTTGAAACTCATAATAAAGAACAAGCCTCATGTAGCAGGACAGATGAACTCAAACATTACTGAGTTTCTTAAATTATATTCATCTGGTCTTCAAAGAAGGAACATAAACATTAATCGTTATTGACAATAATAAGCTTTTTCGTCTGTTGAGATATGGAAGCATCGTGTATGCAAAGCAAAGATGGTCAAGATATCGGACAGATCTTGTATGAATATCTTGGACTTTTATACGAAGGAGTTATGCAGCTACTTATGACATTCAATATTCAATCATATATAAAAGAACTGCATACAAAACAGCATGTAGATTGGCTCTCTCAAATCAATGAAAAAAAATCAACCTGGAATTTTGAAAGTGATACAATTTTAGACAGAAATTCATCATACGCATATTCTCACGAATTCTCGTACTCACTAAGTTGAACAGAGCAGCAAATTAAATATAAGTAGTATGACTTTTTTATATTCTACTCAATCGATATATTTATTCAGAATTCTCTGTAAGCCAGTCCGATGCACTTACCTTCTCCACTCCAAGAAGAGGCATTGTAGATGTATCCAGATCAGGAGCAGATGCCATGTGCTGTATTTCAAGCAAAAAATTTCATTGACAGTCATAAGTCTGTAGACTATGCCCTATTATTATCAATGGACAGTAATTGATATCGGTGACATCAACCAAAAAAAGCATCGAAATTCTAAAACATATTACCCCATATGATGCGTAATAACATGAACAGCCAGCGGGATGCTTAGATCTTGCGCCGGTGGCAATCAGACCTATTTGTGATCGTCTGATTCCATACGTAACAATTTCCTCTTTTTTATTCGTTACGGGAACGACAAGTTTGTGATTTTTCATAACGTTCGGATTCAGTGTTGAGAATCCAGAAACTTGACGCTCTCATAATAACCATCATCTATCTTCGCACAATCCAGTAAATAAATCACTCCTTTCATGCACGTGGTGCATATGAAATATTGTGTGACTTCACTTCTTGAAGTTTCGACGCGGTGAGAATTCAACACAAGCAGACTATGCTTTCTATATGTCTGTAACTCGGGTCCATAAGTTAGTGTAGGCATAGAAGCTAGCAAATCCAAAGCATAACAATAATCCAGAAAAACTTACCAATGTATGAGAGATGACCTCCACAAAATGTGAGTCAAGAACAATTTTTAATGGAACAATCCAAGTCAATCCCGTATCGCATACACCCGCATGACTTGAACTGATCTGTTCGACAAAAGTAAGGTATTTACATTGTTCTTGGGCATCAGCATCAATTCTGTTTCGAAGACCGCATAGCTACTCTCACACCGCACCGCAAAACAATGTAACAGAAAAGCCAAATTTATGCATCAATCTAAAAATCTACATCGTTGAAATCCCTCCTAAGAATCGTGCTAGTAAGCGTATGAAGCACTCACCTCAAGAGTACAAACACAGAATTTCTGTTCAAAATTTCCAAGAAAAGACTCACCTGACAAGGGCACACTAGGGCATCTCTTAACCAAGATTTCGAAAGAATCCCAAAAGACCTCTCATTCAAGTCGAAGGTGGTAGATGTAGTGAATCAATTGGTAGGTTTATATATGTATCGTTCAAATCAAATTGTTTCTCATCCGCAGTGTTTTTCACCTGTCATCGCCAGTCAGACATTGGTTCAGTTCTAACAGACGTGTGAGTGTCAGGATCCGTGTCATTATGTAAATTCTAAGGTTTGGGGTGTTAATGATAACTCACCTTCTGATTAGTAGATTGGGAAGTGGGCACAATGCTTCTGCACTATCCTCATGAATTATACACTTTGGACCCTCTGCCAAAGTGAAATGCATATTGTAAGGCGTGTGGAAGTGCACACGTGCAAAAATGTCCTTAAGAAAATAAAAATTAAAAATATTTCATGTGGCTTGGGGTAATTCATAGGGCTCGGTATATGTATGATTGAATCATTTTATTATTTTATTTGTTGATCTACATTACTTAGTTCTGATCTTATTTTCTTGATATTATTTGGCTTTGTCACATGAAATTCTACTTAACTTTCCCCAAACAGATTAGATTGTTTAATAAGAACTACGGTAAGAGAATATGGTAGTGATTTAAAGTGACTTTATATTATCTCGGATCTGTAAACGTACATGATTTGATTTTATACAATCTTGCAAACAGAATATGTTTTGACTCAAAAGTAAAGTGACAAGATTAGAACCTAGCGTTTTGTTGCCCATTCGTTTCCATCCTTGTCCGGGTTGATGAGGTTTTGTCATTATTCTTCTTTTTCAACTAACGCAGCGTGGGTTGTTAAAGAATGAGTATTTCTAACTTCGAAGATATCTAAATACACTTGACTCTGTGTTTTTAGTGATCTACATAGGTAATTATCATCATCATCATCAGATGTATATATGGTGTATTAAATTCGAATAATTACCAACTATTATATGACTACATTCGTATGACAGTAGATGAGTCAAAAAATACTGAAGCAATGTGACAGAGTATATTCAATATTCTAGAATCAAAAAGATTATTTATAATTCTCTTAGATACTTACAAGTCTAAATTTCATTAAGAACAGAGATACATCTAAATTATAAGAACAGCACTACTTCATATAAATTATTCTATGGTTGTAGAAAGTGTAAAAAACATTCCATTGAGTGTTTTTTTTCACTTACTAGCGCTAAAAATAAGTCACCTTTAAGTCTTATGTATGGTTGCATGCATGTACAAAATTTCAATCAATTTTCTCAGTTGTCTTATCCTTCTGGAATTTTGGAGATGACCAGTATTTGAACTTTATACATGACTTTATCAGGAATTATTTCTTTGATCTCATTTTGAGTTACTATCTTCTTTTAGTAAGATCAACGTAGCTATGTTTTGAAAAAATTTTATATATTTTAAATTAAATTTTATATTTTACTCTGAAACAGTACTTAAGTAATTTTTTTAAATCACTAGAGACATAAGACATTTTGAAAAAGGAAGGTAAAAAATTGAAAACTTTCTCATGGTCAATGAAGTTTATTGACAAGCCTTAGAAAAGGATTCTGTGAGAGCTAAGGGAAAAAAAATGACTGACTGAACATGGATGAAGATTACATGTTTGCTGCATAATGCTTATCTTCTCAAAGAGTTTGTGCAAAAGCACTTTTTTCAAGAGCTCATAATAAAATCCAAAGCTCAGCCGAGCCACTAGCTAATCATATTAGTGAAGAAAGATGATGGTGCACATCATTTTAGCACATTTAGATGTTGAACCTATGCAAATGATCCTGAAAAGATATGTCATTCTGAAAATAAAAGAAAGAGGCGTTTTAATTTTGTACTAACCCAGTTCTGAATATATGAACCAGATAAAGATACAACTCATAAATAGCTATGCAATCAATTTTCATTATTCATTAATAATGTTACTAGTTGAATTTAAACAGAAAAGGTGGTCAGATAACATAGAATCATTTTTATAATCAACTACATCAAAATTGGAAAAGGCAGATCACGCATTTCAAGATACTTTAGACTTAAAGATCTTATAACGTCATATACATACAAGGGAGTGCATGTTTAAAATCAAATTACTCTAATTGCAAATGGTGTGCAACAACTTGGCGGTGACTTCAAAGACTTTTCAATGAGTGTATAGCGAAAAATTCATGCTTAAGATGTTATATACGTGATAAGAAAATAGACGAAACTCCAAACATTCAGCTAGCCATAACTTTAGAGCAAGCAAAAACTGAAAAGGAGGCCATAATAGAGATTTCGAAGATCTCATAAAGAATAAAGCTTGGGTGATTTGTGTTTTAATATATATTTGAAAAAAGTAGGTTGCAGGTAGGCTCACAAACTGAAGCTAAAAATTCGATGGCTCCATTGATAATATGAAGTTCTGCTCTGTGACCCAAGATAACTCTCAAAAACAAGGTAGCCAAGTCAAATTGATTAAAGTGGCTAGTGTTATTATTCTTGCTTTGGCTTATAGTTTCATAATATGGATGTGAACACAAAATGTTATAGAAGAATTTTTTCGCAAAGAATAGACAAAATAATTTATGGACTTCTGGTTTTAGATTGAGACATATGCTTTCTAAGAATTCATCTATATCTCTTCCATGAATATTCACGTGGCTGAAACGAAAATCTGAATAAGGCATTACAGGCTGTTCGCCTTAGAACATATGATAGTTTCACATTCCTTCGTATGGCTACTCTTGTATCAATACTTAAATTGGCAATGGTCTAGTACTCAACTATAGCTCAGATGTAAATAATTCAAGCCAGTTTCAGAGATAGACAGAATAGTCCAAAAAAATCTAATTACATTTTCCTAAATTAGCAAATACATTTTCAAAACATCCAATACAAAGGACTCAAGTGCTATATCTACACCAATAGAATAACTCCTGTTATTCAAATTTAATCATGGATTATACTTGAAGACGAAGTATAAGCTGCAGTATCGACTCATTGTTGGAAGTATAAGGTTCTTAATAACAACTTCGAGGTCATAGTTTGCTTATCTTGTTTTCGATATCAATGAAAACTTTGTTCTTGAAAAAAACTATTCGGTGTTTAAAGCAAATCATATATTTGCAAATTCGCGAATTCAGGCGAATACGATAGTAGCTTCCTCAACTTTGATAGTCACTATGTCACAGATGATCAGGCATGCTTATATTAGGCAGTAGCCTTAATTACCCAAATTAACCTGATTTAGGCTCATCGGGAAGATTAATTTAGGCTAGCGTCTCAACTTGAATGGATTACAAGTATGTTGGATGATTTTCCTTGCATCTACTTTCAAGATCTCCAGATTACACATTCAACTCAACTCTGGAGGTCTTCGTACCAAAATGGGGACTGTATTCGAAATTAAAATTGTTACTGGCGCATAAGTTTAAGCTACAATTGTACCTTAAACTTAAGATAGAAGATGAAGCTAAACTTGCTTATTTTACATATTCATCAATCAGATAAACGTAATTGGAAATGCATCATTCTGATTGGGCAAGAGAAGTGTCATGCCGTTGCTTATTTTCCATATTCATCAATCAGATAAACGTAAGTGGAAATGCATCATTCTGATTGGGCAAGAGAAGTGTCATGCCGTTGCTTATTCTCCATATTCATCAATCAGATAAACGTAAGTGAAAATGCAATATTCTGATTGGGCAAGAGAAGTGTCATGCCGTTACTATATGATGAGCGTGGAGGATGAGCCAAGAGGTCTTAAACTTGAAGTGGACAACTGGGTCTGAAAAGGCCGACACAGAGAGAGAGAGATGTGACAATTGGGTTTGGATGAATAATGATGGAGACATCAGAAAAATGCTCGAGCTCATTAGGTGAGTTGTACCTACTTGCCGTGTCCTAGGACCATGTCCAAGTCCCCATCTCGATGTTATAACCGAACTTTTTCTGGTGGAGTCGAACGTGTTCGTTACGTCTGACCTACTTGACAACACCTTCTTTCTATGAACGTTCATGGCGTTTGAGGGCCTAACGCGGATGTATATGTATATTGAGGTAATACACCCATCTTATTATACCATTGTATTATACAGCACTCCCAAACCATACCTTGTATAATTTTTATATTCAAAGTCCCTAGTGGAGTCCTTAGGAGTCCGCACAAGTGTAAGATTTCAGATTTTTTCATAGACTCTACTGGAAATGGGGAAGCCAAAAGATGTTATTTGTAGGAAGTTTGATATTGGATATCAATCTGAACTTGAAGAATACCCCGTCCACGATGGTGATGGTAGCAATGATAAATTTGATCACGTTGACATTTCCAAGGGAGTTGAAAGCATAAGGAAGATATCTTCTAGGCCCAATAAGTGATAGACGAGGATAACATATACGAATGATAACATAACAAATGAGGGGGACCTCTGAGTATCATATGAGGGGGACATCTGAGTGTTGTGTTATACATTTGATATTATACTGTATTATACTACGCAGTCCACGAGGAATCCAGTAAAACAGACCCATATGCATGCGTTGATTTAGCCGCAAAAACGGGGTGGCCATTTAGGTAATTTAGGCATGCCTAAATTACGCAGGCTTGCACATAATACATTTTGGACAAGAGTCGAACTACATAAGAGACCTCCCTTTATCGAACACAGCGAGAGGAGATCATGAACAGCAAATGTACATATAAAGGTGTGGTATTAGCCAAAAACTGTAGATAGGGGATGTTAACATCCTCTATTGGCTTCAGTTTTGGCATAGGTGTAATGTTTGTTTTAGAATGACCACAGCGTGTCGTAGCAGGGGATTTAATTGAGTCAAATTTAAAACAAAAGCAACCAAATTTAGAGGTTTTCAATTACTTCAACTTGCTCAACATAACAGCTTTCTGTTTTTTATGTTCGACTCGGGGTTCTTGTTCCACATAAAGGTTCACTGTTCAGTTACCATCACAAAGCTGCAGTAAACTGTTTGTCAGTATACGGAAAATGGAGTTTTGTACTCTTGGGAATATGGTGATAATTATCTGTTTTCCAAGCTTACAGAGTTCCTTACTCTCTCATTGTGATAGATAATTCTGTCCAAATATTTTGTAGATGCTGCGTAGCGTTTGCCCCTAACATCAGATAGTGGTACATGGTAATAAATAGATCAAGACTGTGGGATCCAAACGGTCAAAAGCTGAAAAACACATTACAAGCGCAAAATTACAAACAAGAGAAAAGACCCTAAAGATCAATCCCTAGCTAGTGCCAAGAGCACTAGAAAGATAACTAATGTCCCTAATATAACAACCTAAATCAAAAGAAACTGACCGTAATAAAGAATAGAAATTCTTCACATGCATATTATGAGCAAGTCTAACTTCTTTGTATCTACGACAAGTAACAAAAATATGCTCTTCATCTTCAACATACCCACCGTCACATAATCTAGGAATATGTTCATTCTTATCAATATAAACCAACGCACTTCTTCAATTTCAAGCCTAGGAGATCCAATTCTGTGCCGAGCGATAATATGACGTAAGGACTTAGAGATCCCTGCAAAGTAGGGTTTAGGAGTTTAGAGTAGGACCCAGAGTTCTTCACAAGTACACGTGGTGTTATTTTGTGACATCTAAAATAATGAAGGCAGTATTCAATTATAAGATTTTTTTCACCAGTCCAATCCACTTTTGGGTTTGTGTAGAAGTATGGACTTTTTCTCACACTTTAGGTACAACGTTATCAAATCAATTATCATAAATTAAATAAGTCGTATATATCAATAGTAATATTTAATATGTATTCTTTATAAAAATAATATATTTACAATAATATATATCATTGTTCATTATAAATATTCTGAAAACTAAATTTCATAACATGTTGTATAATTGCAATCTCAGTGTAATCTATGCACACCGTCACCAAATGTGGATACTCCTGCAGAACTGACAAATCATAAAGTCATGACAAGTTATTGACCAAGATTGGAAACAAGAAAGGTCAAGCTACACATTGAAGTGATAGCATAAAAGTTGCCTACCAACTTTTTCTTTCCATATATTTTACTGGTCACGAGATCTGATCGCTTTGCGTGCAAGTCTAATAACACGTATCTGTTCATGAATGGTCCGAGTAAACTTTCTGGAAGAGTGCAAGGTACCTACTCAACCACAGTTCCTCGCTTTAGTGAAGTTGATGTTTATCGACCGCGTGAAAAGCTGCATCATTTTCATTATAAGAACGTGTACATCTTCTAGCGATGTTCAGAAGTGAGTGTGCATGACATCCATCGTTAAGATACAGTCCAACGAGAGTTGAGTCACACAAGTACAAGAAGAGAGATTATAGAGCTTCCAAGAACCTTGTTGCATCAATCAAGGTAACAAACGACCTTGATACTTTGCTCGGGCACGCCCTGTAAGGATTTTGCAGAATCTGAAGCCTTCTTCAACAACGCATAGGTGCTTGAGGTGGCGCGAAGGAGGACACTTGTCCACGCGATCCGACTGGCAGTGGAGACGGGTGCGGTGAAGTGTTTCGGCTCAACAACTCGGTGGATGAGGAATCTCTCAACAGATTCTCTGTTGCATGATAATCTGAAGAACAAAGGAGGATATTCATTTTGGAAGGACAGAAAATGGGTCGAAATCAAAGCTGGACGAAAGTTGTAACGTGGTCCACTCTGCATGAGTATCCATATTCCATGCTGGCCTTGACGGCATACTTGTACTACATCATGATATTTTTCAATCCTCTGAAGTTCGTCATGAACATGCTGCTGCATAGACTTCCCTCACTAATACTGGACGTGTCACCTTTAGTCATGGTCATGCTGTTCTTCATCGCGACTGGATCTAACAATCCAAGTGCAAGTGCATCAAGCTTGAACTCTAGATGCACAGTGATTTCTCCCACAATCAACTCAAGCAAAAGGGAAAATTCTATCCACAGAGAAAGTTCATTGACCAGAAGTTCTTATCCTAGGTCCTGGCCAAGTTGGGATTGGTTGCAGCCTTATGATCCAGATTTGTTCTTACGACCTGAGAAAAAGATGGGGAGCAAAGCGGGAGACACCGATTGGAAAAATCCAAGTGGAAGGTCAGCAGAGCCAAGGGTCCAAGAATCAAGTTCAGCCATGGATAGAAGCAATTCTGTTGTAGCATGTACATGTGAAGGGTGTACATACAGTAGGAGATCAGAAGGTCAAGCACCTTTGGATGAACCAGCTCAGCAGCCGACTCCTCGGTCAGATCCAATTTTTCGGGTTCAGAGAAGCTCAGGAGAAAAGAAATTATCCAAGGAGAGTCGTGATTATGAGAAAGTCATTGATCCAGTTCAGCAAGCTTTGGAGGGACGTACCTCATTGGCGATCAAGAAAAGCCATGGTGCAACGAGTGCCATTGCGGGCGGAGATGAGAAAGTTACCGCTACCGAATTCGAGATTCAAGTTACTGCAGCTGAAATGGGTGAGCATCAAAGCACCAGATCAAAATCTGCTGGTCCAGTCCATGCTGATCCATGTGAACGACTTGCTAATACGATTAGGGCTGGTGGCTACTTCAACGCTCTTCCAGACCCACAGCCAGTCTCTCAAGCCAGCCCAGAGGTCTCGGCAGCAGATCCCGGTCAGTATAAAAATGGCAAGATCAATGAAGTGGAGGATCCACCAGATGTTATTACTTCTCATTCTCAGCTTTTCTCTGTTGGGAGCTTGAATGACTGGAGCCAGCTTCACTGCGGTCAAGACGAGATATCTGACGATAACGTCGGAGATCAGCGAGGAGAAGAAAGCGAAATTGTTTTTCCGATAACATTGGAAGCCATCAACCGTCCGTCTCCACACACTGAAGTGAACCAAGATCGTGTAAGTGTTCCCTCAACTTCTAAAAACTTCATTGGATTGAAGGCAGTCCCATGTACTGCTGCAGCAGAACCACTGCCCGTGATCAAAGATCCAGGTTTTTTTAGCGAGCTCGGATCACTTCCTCTGGAGAAGGTTTCGCAGCTCTACTCATTCAAACACATGACTCTGGATGAGAAGAATGAGGAAAAGGCCTATTGGGTGGAGAAGTGGAGAAGATGTGGAGAAGTGGAGTCAAGGCACAAAGCCCCACCAGACAAAAATCTGTTTCAGGGCCTTACCTTATCAGCTTCTTTTCGCCATGCCTCAGTCGACAATGACACCTACAAGCCCAGCGCTCCTCCCTTCGATCCCCTTCTCTTCTATGACAATTTTATCAAGGATCGAGGGTTTGCAAATCCTTCTGTGTTTTTCAAGACATACAAACCTTTCGTCACTGATGAAGGGAATGTCTTTCTCTTCAATTTCCAAGAGCCAGAGAGTTCCTTGCTCCACCTTTGTGGAAGGTATTGATATCCCTGAGTGACTTATGTTCGCAGTCCTTACAGGAAAAATTATTTATTGACAAGTGGACTTTGAGTCAAGTATCAACGACCATTTGGTTGCTTCTTGGTGATACATATGTCACGTTGGTTCGATTTACCCCCATCAGTTATCTGCAAATGAGTAGATTCTGACAGAGAGTTGAAGCTCAATCCATCTCCTATTATCCCTTGTATTGCTAGAGTGGTTGTGTGGTCTGTTCATGCAGTTTCATGATCAGAGAGATCCGGACCTTTAATTGGCTTGAAGTAAAGGTTAAGTTGTCGTTAATGCAACGACATTTGACACTGTGGTTACCGTTGCCTTGAGACGACCAACTAAAGGAGCCTCAAACTTGAGCCTCACTACGAAGGTCCACAACGATAGTACAGAACACGAGGGACAGATAATCCTTCCATCGTGCATGGAGTGCAGGACGTGATGTCGATCACTCAAAAGTCGAAAGGTTTTGACTTCCCGATGATCAGGGTGGAGTGGTTTATACATGATCATAACTAAAAATACAATATAGTAGGCACCGTTCTAGCATTGTGTAGGACTGTAGACTCACCTCTAGTAGTGGTGGGATGCTTATCTGACACTATTCTAATACCTTCAAGATTATAGATGACCATCGTGAGGTGATTACTTGGTCTCATCTTTTCATCTTTGGGTCCCACGGGCTTTACCATTTACCATTTTACCATTTTGATGTACAGTTTGTATTTGATTATAACTAATAAAATATGAATAAATTTTCTAAAGTATAGATAGACTACCCTCTCAAAAGAAATCGATCACATTGGACTTAAAGTCATTCGTATGTTACTACTGATGTTTGAATCTTATGTTTTCATGTATCATTGAGTCCTTTCTAATTTTATATAATAGTGAATGATGCATTGGATGATCCAGCATGATAAATTTTGTTGTGTCAGTTCTGTTGATCTAAATAATTTGAACTGTTCATATGTTGTAAGATAACTGTTTTAATTTTTATACTATTTAGGCAAAAGCAATAATTATCCATAATTTTTCTGTTTGTATATTTTGTATATCTACTTTGTCATCTATATTTTACCACTAAATTAAATTACAGTCAATATTCTGCTCATATTCTAACTTCATCGAAGAATAAGGAAGCAGCTGATGTCTAGCCTTATCACTAATCGTTTTTAATAAAATGCATATGATAAAGTTAAGATGGAATTGTTTAGTGCACATAAGTAAAAAGAATTGGCAAATAACTTATATTTTCTAAGAGAAACAAAATTATAACAAAATCATGTACGAAAATCATCAAAATCACATCTCAAAAATCACACAGCGATGTACATGAAGTTATGTCCACGGCCGAAATAAAAGCTTCACTGAAGTGAGAATGTTACATCAAGCCTTCATAGCTCAGCTGCCCATTATCTCTCCTCGCATGTATACATGTGAGACTAAACTGAAACATGTTCATCATAGGCTTAAGCATCTCAAACCCTACCTAGAGGCCAAGCCTAACTACGATTAACAAGACGCAGATTAACCTTAAAAACTCCTCCTTAATCCAAGTTTTGGAGGAGGCAGTTTCTATAATCCATATATGGTTTCGGCGGAAAATTCTAGAAAGTAAAACCAAACCATAACTTTTTCTCTATGAATAAGGATTAACTAGAACTAAGCGTAGCTGACAACATGTAACAGAGAAACCATATACATTAAAACTATCATATAATCTAACCAACTGCTACAAAATCTTCAAAGTATCACGATGTCTTGAAAACATATAAAAAAGAATCAATTTGGTAAAGCCATCAGCCGAGTTAAGCTCTTCATCAATTTTGATGGGATTAAGCGCGTTCTTAAACACAATCTACTTGATAAAATGATACATGATGTCAACATACTTCATCCTACTATTCATCACCTCATTCTCAGCAAGGTGAAGCACACTCTAGCTATAACAATGAAGATTCACATCCAACTACGACAATTCCATCTCAGTGATAAGCTTCTTCAACCAAAGTGCTTCCTGCATTGACTCTGCTGCTGCTATTCAGCTTTTGTGGATGACAAGGAGATGCACTTTTGAAGAGCTGATTTCTAATTTATGCAGTCATTTATAAGAGGGAAAACATATCCCGTCGTTGATTTTCTTTTCTCCAAGTCTACTCCTTATTAGCATACACATATGTCAAAATCCACATTTCTCAAAATTGACTTGGCATTCATTGCTTTGGCATCAAACAGTAAACCATGTCATGTAGAACCCTTAAGATATCTAAGTATCTACTTCATTGCTTTTCAATGCACCTTGTCTGGATTTTACATGTACCTACTTATCTTAAAAAAATGCTATATCTGATCATGTTCATACCATCAAATACATGAGACTAGTCACTGCATTGTCATAAGGGATAAAAAACAGCAACCCTTTTTTGACCTCATTTGTAGGACATTGCGTTGTTGAAAGTAAAAAATGAGCAGCCAATGAAATATTCACAGGTTTAGCTTCTGCCATGTTGAACTTGGCAATCAATTTCTCTCCATAATTCTGTTGACATAATCAAAGTCTTCTTGGCTTGTGATTCGTGAATTCTTCCATACTAAAAATTTTCTTAAATTGATGTACATCTTTCATGCTGAAAGTTGAGCTCAATTTAGCCTTCAACTTATCAACATTGAATCTTTTGAGCGGTCCAGAATTTTGAATATATTTATTTAAGATTGACGTTAATCTAGTTGCTTCAAAAGAACTCTGCAATTTTACTTTTGTATGAGCGTGACGCTGAGATTTCTAAATCAAAGCATGTGACTTCACTCCACAATTAAACTTCTTGACAAACTTTCTCAAAGTATATTTCTTTCAATGTGAGGATGATATTTTAAACGTGTTAGCTATGCATAATACTCCTAACACATCTATAAATTGAGTAATTATCGATGCCAATAGATGGGCGACAATGGAGGGATGGCAATATATGACTCCACCTTCCGTACAGTCAATCACATAAAAAAATACATAGGATCTAACAAACTAATATTAGTGGAAAATTACTTTTCTACTTCCTCTTAAAGGAGACCTATGCATGCTCCGGACAGAAACTTCAAAATTCTAGGCCGTTTGAATATGAAAGTCTACGCATAGTCCTATTAGTATTTTTCAAACACTTATAATGTCCTTAACAGTGAAGAAAAAAAACTATCTATTAAAAAAACTAAAAATTTATTACTATTTTTCCTATCTAAAAAATAGCCACTTCACAGATGGGATTTCCATAACATAACGTCAATCTGCATTGTGATAGTGACAATGTGCTTCACCTTGCTAAAAAATCAAGTGATAAATAGTAAGGTAAAGCACATTGACATCAGGTATCATTTCATCAAGAAGTGTATGTTTCATAATGCGTTTAAGTTCATCAAGATTGATGGAGAGCTTTACCCAGTTGATGACTTTACTAGAGTGATTACTTCTTATAAATTTTCAAGATACCGTGCAACTTTGCAGATTTTGCATTTATGAGTTGGATTACATGATTTTTTCTAAAAATGTAGTATCTCTTTGACATGTTGTCAGCTACGTCTAAATTCTAATTAATCCTTGTTCATAAGTAAAAAGCCATGGTTTAGTTTTACCTCATAATACTTTCAGCTGAAACTATATATGGATAGTAGAAACTGACTCCTCCAAGACTTGGATTTAGGGAAAGTTACAAGGTTAACTCGCGTCTTGTTAATGTTAGTTAGTCTAATCGTAGTTAGATTTGGCCTCTAATTAGGGTTTGGAGTTCTTAGTCTTAGGATGACCACATTTTAGTTTAATCTCACATGTACATCTGATGACGAGAGACATATTAGAAAGTTTGGTTATGGAGGTGTGATGTCTCATTATTGCTCTAATGAAGTTTCTATGTCGGCCGTGGACGTAAAGGTGAATCATTAGTGTGATTGTTTAATGACTAAAAATATGGTGAATATATGTAAATATGTATATATATATTTTTTATTATTTACTAATCTGAGATATAGAAATTAAAACGGGATCCTTAATAATTTACTTACTTCACATTTATTCATTTATTTATTTAGAATAAAATCCAGTAAAATATTCGTACAAGTGACCAGTTCAGTATAGGTTAATTTTTTTCAAAAAAAATTCCTTCTTATCAACATTTTCTAATAAATAACTTTCAAAACATGAAATTTTCAAAAATCAAATGTAGCTACTTCATATTGTAATTTTTAAATCTTGATATTTAAAAATTACATCTTTTACGTAAAACATATGGTCTTACAATGAAATTACAAATATAGGAACGTTATGGTAAAGTCAGAAATCAGATCATAGATTTACTTGTATTGAAATTAAAAAATGAGAAGGCATTATTAAATTTTTCCAAGGAATACAAGAACTAAGCTAGCTAATCTTATTAGTATCATGATGGAAAATATGTGCTAAAAAATCGATATTGTCCAAACTATTTATATCAACCAATATGTATATATAGATGTGCATCTCCTAACTTGATTTTCTACTTGTATGTGGCGCTGACGTTTGTTTTGTGTAAAGCCATGAAACACACTTCCTAAAGTAAGGTTCACAATAAGTTCAGGGAAATGATATATCATGCCGAATAATATAACTGGCTCTTGCGTACCTTGTCACAAATATGTTAAAAATGCATCCATGGGTCAAAGAAAAAAAGATGCAAATTTTACCACTTATGACCTATGTTACTTGTGTGTTCATTTGAACTTCAACGCTTTTGAAAATTAAATTTCTGGTTGCGAAAAAAGAAACTTTTAGTTTCTTTTTTCGCAATATTTTTCACTTTGATTCCACTTTTCAGGTGGAATCAAAGTGAAACGTTGAAATATGCACATTAGATATGTAAACAAGTTCTCATTTTTTAATTCAAGTAGCAAAAATTTCGTGCATGGAGCATGTAACAGAAATTTAACATGTGTTAAGCAATAATTTTCGCATGAGAAAATAACATTTTTCTAGTGTTATGATGAGGAGTGCAATGTCATTCTGATGTAATGATGGTTGGAAAGAGTAATATGAGATCACTGCGTTACCATATAAGAATTTGTTCTATCGTGAGATTTTCAGTGACATCGATGTATGCAGAGATATGTATATATCATGACATCATCCATAGCCACAAACTTTGACTTCTCAATTTCGTTGTTCAAGTTTTTGCTTCGTGGCTTCAATAGAATTTGTACTTCTTGTGAGGCTCCTGAATTCTACTGCTACATTCCTGATTACTTGTAGCTGCACATGGTACATGTCCTCATCATTGTCTATCCTCAAAGTTTCACTTAATCAAAATCAACATGGCGGACTGTCCAGCATCTGGTGAGGAGGCTTAGCTCGTGAATTCGAGGGGCAAAGCGGAACCCAAAAAAATTCACCTAAGTTCGCCGTTGGTTTCCTCCATAGCCAACTTTGATGTTTTCGAGCGCTTGCTTTCTACTTACTGATAGAGTTCTGTGGACACAAAGAGACTCACTCCTTCCCCGGCCCTCTCCCTTTGATTCTGCCTTGCTTTCCGCAAGATATCCGACTATAGTGAGCATCGATTCTTGCCGTCGACAATCTAGTTGGACACGTGAAATGCAACCTTCTTTAAACTGTTCGGGCTCCACGCTTGTCCCTTGGCCCGTTCCGTATCTGCGAAATCTGCACTGAAGATGACTGACTATTAGAACTACCTGTGGCTTATTAGCTTTTATATTTTGCCAGAATCATGACTGAAACCAGCTCTCTCCGTCATTTCTTAAGTACGATAAAATGAACTATTTAGAGGGACACAGAATTCCTCCCTCTCAATATGCAGAGCAACCGTTACATCTAAAAGCTAGTGTTACTGTTGTAGTTCACAGACCTCAATTCGTAAGATTCAGAATTTGGCTTGCTGCCAGATGCTACCCTCCTTCGCGAGTTGCGATTGTGTTCAAATGGAACATCCTTCAAGTGCATTGTCTTGCATGGTTCAGGTTTCCGAGATCTGTGTACTATGCTTCGTTCTTCCCTCTATGTCTACAGGTGTCCTGTCATGTAAGACTCCAGATGCCAGTTACTTTCAGACAATTTCTGACTCTGTTGCCATTTAAGGCACCACTGCGACATCATCATTCCACCTCCACACCGTTTGCAGCAGTCTCTTCGTATAGCTGTACAACTGTCCATCCATCAGACGCAATACTATTGCAGACAGGAGAGACTTCTGACGCGAAACCGTAACAATTGCATCAGTATGAGTAAAAATCGCTTAACTGGCAAACGAAAATACCACCTAGGCATGGAGAGTACAAGCTCACATCCTTCTGAAGATGGAGAGAGGTACTGGAAGAATGCAACGCGACATAGCGTTCTTCAACACTATTTTTTGAGAGGTTTGCAGAGCCATCGCCGTTCAAGGGTGAGGTGCATGTAGCTCAGGCAATCATTCTGAAGGTGTTGTTCGTATCAGATGTCTTTTTTAGAAGGGCATGAGAAAACGTGGTGCCAGTCAAGTCATGTGTTGGCTATAATTAGAGAAAACTCTAGCTAGTCGAGACAATTTTGAAGTGCCCGTGAGTGCCCGTGACGCTTGTAACCTCATGCCAGACGTTCTAACATGGGCACAGGTGTATCAGAAACTCGGTTTAGAATTTGACTTTGAGGCGCACTCGAATGGGGATAAAGACAACTTATAGACAACTAGTGATTTGAACCTGTGCTGGATGTTCAAGATTCATCAGTCAACTACCACACTACAGTAGGGTATTCAGACGACATTTTGGCCCTCAGTGCCACGCTTTACATTAGAGGTCAATGTTCCCCGACCTGCGAGGAGGATTTGTTCGTGGTCGCAAGTCTTTAAACGTGTCAAGCTTGAAAACCAAATTCCTCGTTACGGTCGTTCGAATCGGTCACTGCATTGATCATGCCTGCAACATGTGAGCCTGTCGATGCGTCAGTCTCCTTCATTCGCTCAGATTTTTCTACACGCAAACGATAAGACCACCTGGAACTGAAGAAAGTCGCGGGCATGCAAGGGGTTTTCCAAGAATTACACATGCACTACAAACAATCTGGAAGCATGTACGTTTACGCGAACTAAGTAACAACTTTAGAAGGACCGTACTGAGAGGGGCAACACTTCCTGAGAGCTTACTTCCACTGAGGACTGGGACACAAAAACCTTTCGAGGAAACAATATCTTTCTTCATAACTCTTAATATCATTCTTGATAAGCCCTTCTCGAAGAAGAATGACAGAACTACATGGGAAAATTCTCCACGGGAAATCCAACAAGAAGCGGTTACCAACCTTATGTCTTACTTGCCGGATGCAGTCAACTGGAGACACATAGTGACGAAATAATTGAAGTGATCCATAGTCACACAATTAACAGCCTTTGACTGTAACATTTCCATTGGGTTGGCATACCCCAAAGTAAGTTTATTAACTCAAGTATTCCTCGTTGTGAGAAGCTATGCTGTACAAGGCGATCGCCAAAATCAGGTTTAGATACGCAAGTATCATGAGCTAAGCTACATAAGTAATCAGTGGCTAGATGATTTGCTAAAAAATCATCAAGTTCGGGTTGCTGAGGCAGAGACAACTGATAAGTTCATGCTGGCGATGAATGTGTTCGCGATGAATACCCAATGCATGAACTGATCAGTCTCTGCCGTACATTCTAAGAGTTAGTTTTCCTATTTCAACATTTGTCTACCGGATGCCTTCTGAGCTTGAAGATCTCCATAGACACGGATATCCATGGTACTATATCTCGAATACAGTTCAAACGAATGAACAAAGAAGCTGGTTGGCGTATAATCTTGCTAGGGACGAAGGAGTAAAGTTTCAGTACCGTCGCACTGGTTGGATGGCATCTTATAGTGCAGTGCTCGGCGCTGTACAGAGCTCGGATCCGGCAGGTCTCAGGAAGATCACGTTCGGTTGTAGAACAGGAATTGAGCTACAGAGCGAGTTCGACCGTCCCGGAAACTTGATCCAGTAGGCATATGAGTTACAACTGCATGGATCTAGAACTGTACTCTGAAAGAGGCTGGCCATAGTCAATCGTTGAACTTTAACCTCCTCGAAATCGTCGTCTCGTCAGGGCTCCTCTGTGAGTAAGACACTCTCAACTTCACATACTCAAAGATTTGGTAAACGTTCTACTCTGTGCATAGAGCTCTTCCAACTCCCTGACGCATTCAGCCATCATTGGTCTTTTACTATCCTCGTCTCGAATGCAACGGGCTGCAAGATCTGCAAATCTCTTCACGCTATCAAAAGAGTACGTCAAGGGACTGATCTCGGAGTCCACAACCTTTTTCAGTTTTTTCTTGCTCTTCAGAGTTTCTTTCACCTGCACATGGAAGGTAGAAATTGTGGCCTCAATTCAGTGGAGGCAATATTACGTTCGACTCTGATTCGACGGTATCGTTGTGGATCATGTTGGCGGCGTCGCATTCTGTTCTCAGCATCCAATCAGAAAGGACCACGAGACTAGACAGAAACCCTGAACATGGTTACTGTGGTGTCCACTTCACATTAATTAACTATTGGACGTCAAACACGTGGCTTCTAGACAAGTCATGATAACAGGGCTTCACTAGAGTACTGACCAGGTATGTCTGCTGGCAGCGTCCCAATGCTTTCAAGTAATAGAAAAGTAGAATCACAGGGTCTGGCCAGCAGAAAAAACGATCAGGAAGTACTCACCCGGAAAACCAGATTCTCTTCTCCACATGCATATGACGAGTCGACTGCCCTTCGCCCCGTTAGTAACTCCAAGCAAACTACCCCGAAGCCGTAGACGTCGCTCTTCACAGTGAGCCTGCCAGTCTGTAGAGCAGCACTTGTATCAGAAGATACTTGGCTACACCGATTTTGAATATGTGGGTTTCAATGATAGATAAGAAATAAGATAGAAAACAAATTGTCTATGCACACTACGACCAAAGTTAGGAATGGGTACCGCAGTGTATTTTGGGTCAAAATATCCGAAGGTTCCAATCACTCTCGTACTGACGTAGTGTTTGTCACCAAACGGCACGAGCTTAGCAAGACCGAAGTCCGAAACCTGCAAGACTTCCACATATTTCAAAAGTTGGTACTCAATGTCGTGTAAAGGTTGATTATCCATGACGTGAAGCTCATGGAGCAGAAAGTCACAAGGAACCTTGGGATCTCAAACGAGTAACCTAGCATCATCTTTTCACAGCTTGCACAACTGAGCGATGGTATCAAGCACATAGAAATGTTGTATGTCGTATGTTCGGACAACATGAATCTTCGAGCATCCATGGGGTTATTCTCTCCATGGATGAATAACCCTTGGGATATTTTCCTACTCACCTTCGGATTGAAATCCTCATCCAGCAAAATATTGCTGGACTTAAAGTCACGATGGATGATGGGATTTCCAGCTGCACGACCTGTATGTAGGTACTCCAAAGCTCTTGCAGCCCCCAGAGCGACTCTCAACCTCATATGCCACTCCAGTTTGACTCTCACAACCCCTGCAATAAAGAGCGATTTCTCAGAACGTTTGTTGGGACCGAGTATCATGGAACAGCCAGTACTTCAAATTTGCTTTGAAAACCTTCGAAACTTTCTTGATAACATTGACCATGTTCATGGGCATCCGGTCTCTCCTTACCATGAAGAAGTTCTTGAAGGTTCCCATTGACCATATATTCGTAAACTAGCAAGCGATGTGTACGATCGGCGCAGTATCCTATTAAACGAACCAAATTAGGGTGGTTCAAACGGCTCAAAATGTCCACTTCCACACGGAACTCTCTTTCACCCTGAGTTCCTTGTCGTGCTGAAGCTCCGGGATCCATTTGCTTCACAGCCACTACCTGCAAACGACAGTCGAGGAGACTCAGCCCGTCAGCTCACAATGTGTATGAATATTGAAGGAAGACAGCCTGCATGAAGCAAATGTTATGCCATTAGATTACAAAGCCATCTCTTCACGTCAATACAAATCTACTGACACGCAGACGGTTGATAAGGTTTCTACCTTGCCATCACTTAACACACCCCGAAAAACTTGACCAAATCCGCCTTCTCCGATGAGGTTGTCCTGGCTGAAATTTCCCGTTGCTTTCCGCATCTCTCTCAAAGTGAACACATGAGCAGCTGAAGGAAGTGGCTTCAGACTCAGGGCCGGCATCAGTGGCCCAGACTGCCATCTTTCAACTGACTTTTTTAACCCTGTATCAATCAGGCGAGAATCACTTAATTCACAGAGGTTGAAACTTCTACATGCAAACAAATCTTGAAGTGAATATTGGCACTCTGCGCCAGTTCATCTTTTCAGGCATTTCCGTGGAAATCATCTTCAGTGCAGTTTGAGCTATTAGACGGATGCAATGACAAGAGCAAATTTGGAACAGATAGCGCGTAAGTTAATGATTTTGTCAGAGAATTTTCTACACTTGGCAAGTTCAAATTCATCGTAATGGCAACCCGGGCCGATAATGCCGGAAATATGATAGGCGATTTCCTTCAATGGTTTCAGCTGAGATTTTGAAGGCGTAAAAATTGCTGCTTTTGGGAGCCCAAGCGCACCTAGTCATATAGGAGAGTAAGTTGTACACAGATAAGACGATAGAAGGCTCCGCACTCCGCAAGCACAGGAATCCTCAATCCAAAATAACTAGCAACGAAATCATTCGTGACAAGAGGGAGAATCTTACGCGTTGTGATACTACATCATCTCAACTTGAACAAAGCCATTGTAACACTTGAAAATGGAGATTTCATAAAGCTTCTAAGTCTCCATTTTTTCTGTGGCTTCATAAAGTTGGGGAATAGCACTCAGCGAAGAGCAAATCGAAGGTACTCAGCTGATGTAAACAACGGGTACTACTGCACTAGAGCGCAGTACCACCTACATATAAGCTAGAACCTTAACCACCAAATGAAATGCAAGGACGGCCAGACAACTGTGGAAAAGAGTTCAACTGAAAATCCGTTACAATTTGGGCAGTGCTTGCCCAATTTTAGAAGCAATTACCAGCCAGGATGCGGTTATGTGTTGAATTAAAGTCGACACTGCCACTGCAAAGGTCAATAACGCACGATTTCATACTACTTTCGGGAATTCAGGTGTGTTGTATCTTCCTCTGTGATATTGAAGAATTCGCAAGAACAATCGACCAACCTGACTGCATCGAGAACAAAACGAGGATTGGATATGTGAAGCAAAACAATCTTCCTACGTATACACTCTACAGAACCGACTCAATGACCGTGAGAAGGCCACAGCGTGCATGATGTTAAAGGCTATTGATTGGGACAGCTCAATCTCTGTCAGTGTTCGTTCTACATTCGACTCAAGGGATCTCAATTGAAGGTTTGCAGTTCCAACACTTCCTCAGAACGACCCAAGCTGGGCTTCGGAGAGTGCACGTTGACTTAGAAATGATGTGAGTACGTGGCGGACGAGCGATGCAAGCTTTGAAGAACCAACGACTTTGTGTTTCTCACGAATTCTAAAAAGCATCAAATACTGACTATTTTCCACGGTATATTCTCTCATGTTCACAGTCCAAGCGGAAGACGCCACTGTACTAATCAGCGAACGTGAAACTCCAGAATATGACGGAGAAGCTAAACCATCGACAGATTGTAAGCAATCGGTCAATCTCCGTAGAAACAACGCATCAGAATCACCAAGCGCACAATCATCTTGACTCAAGGTTTGGTTTGGCTGAAAGTCAAGTTTGACTAAATTGAAGTTACTGATGCACAAGGCTTCCAATCTCCCTACGTTCTACGGCATGAAGGACATAGTGAGGCCGGCGACACAAGTGCCAGTGCACCTTGCAACCTGTATCGGAAGAACCGACCACCCCTCACATCTCTCGACCGCAAGTCAATGTATCTATCCACCAGGCGAGATTAAATTGACGTTATGCTTCCACGGATCTAGGCATCGTAGTGGACTTATTGTCGATGGACGAGCAGGATACACAAGCTCCAACTTCAATTTATCAGATGGCAAACAGATTCCATGCAAACAGAGCGAGCAGTCGAAGATAACGGCTTCGGCTCCCAAGTGGATGTGGTGGGGTGCCAAAGGACACATGCGCAAGATCACTTCTGACTGGCTTCCATTGCTAATGGTAGGACTCTGCTTGTCAAATTCCTACATACGGAGGCTCAAGAACCACATTATCAGACCCCTCGCTTCTAAGAGATCCATGACTGCGATAAGAGAAGCATTTCAACAGAATGTGAGGTCTATAAATCTCGCTACTGTAGCCAACGACTTTACTCAGGAAAAACTTGATACACTTCGGACAACCGAAAGAGAGGCGTCAGACAGTGGTCACTTGAGCAAGCACGAGCTACCGTGGGCTGCGATCCCCTTCGCAGACATTGGGAGCAACAATCACTGTGACAGAGGGGACTCTGATCCGAGCGAATGCGAGTTTCCTATTCACCAGCAGTCCGCAACAAGTGCCACGATTCAGAACGAGCTGTATCCTGGTAGATGGGCTTCCGAACAAAGTCCGGTTTGGACACAGAAGTACAGTGACTAATGCCCTGGGTTCCGATTTGAGATTTTAGGGGAAAGTCGCGAAGAGCAAGAAACCGGACGCAGGAAACCATTGCACTGCACAGATTGCATGCCGAATGACCCTTTCGAGACAAGCGGTGAAGGTCGAGCGAAGTATTGCAAGCTGAAGACGAAGGTCCCTGGGACCACTCAGCTGCAGAGTCCAAGGACTAAGGACTGGCGGCGGAGCTGCGATTTGGACGAGGTGTAGAAGAGAAAAGTTGAAGGAACTCACAGATAGTATTGTCGGCAGGACTTCCAGGCGTCCCACCGGGACTCGGTTTCTTCCTCTTCTGCCATCCCACGAGGAACTTCAGACTCAGAATGTGAGTTTCTACACTTCGCTGAATTTCCTTCTCCTCTTCGGTGCTCCTGGTCATCCAAATCCATGGGAAGTTTGAGTTCCTCTTCCACATAAGCCTACAGATTAAACTTCAATCTGGAATATCACCAAGCTCAACTCTGTCTGATTTGTTCCCTCTTCAAGTACTGCACGAAGGAATTATGTTTGCACCTGCGACACTTGAACCATGGCACATGCATTCTTCTTCAATCTCAAAGCCAGAGTCCTAAAGTTGACACCACCCATCACGTGGTTGCGCCATTCTTTCTTGTATCTTCCACACAACTACATCTGCTCTAGACATCAGAGTCAACCCGGCCCAAAATCTCCTTCGGAAAGTTTCGACGGAGGAGTTGTTTCAGTCCAAACAATCGGGCACAGACTAATTACGAGCTCGTTCCGGGGCGAGGGATCAGATTGCGCGAGACAACGACGGTCTGCAGAGGTCAAATCCTCAGAGCAACCGGCATAACTCACCAAGTGCAGCAAGAGCAGAGCAGGAGTGACAAGCACAATGGATGCATGTCATAGGTCAAACTGCCGGCCGGGGCTGGGCGACTTGAGTGAGCACGGAGCCACACCCACAGGGTCGGGCTTGGGCACGCGAGACAAGCGTGAATGGAGTTTCAAATTCAATTCTGGAACTCCACACTTAATGCAGCCGAGAGGCATCAAATGGGTAGAAGAATGTTAATGACTGAGTCGAGTGTCGGGCAAGTATGACTGCGTGGCAGGCCAGGCCAAGGGCGAAGGGTGGGATTTAAAAATCCAGGCCACTCGGCTGTCAGGATGACAGGGGAGATGTGACCGCAGGACTCACATGAGAGCAAAGCAGTTGCAGGGCTTCCCAATCACCATCTTCTATGAAACAGCGAAAAGGCCCGATCCTGATAGACGCCCGCCACTTGAGCTCCTCCTCTTCCTTCCAGAGAATGATGGCGTTTCCATCCCCTCCACTCCGCTCCGCTCCGAAAACTCCACCTGCTCGACGAGCTGCTAATAAATTCTCCTCTTCGACGCGGGAAAGAAGACTCAAAAAGTCTTGCCTCCGAAAATCATATCGCTCCTCTAATCTAATGTACTCCCTCTCTCCCTCTCTCTCTCTCTCTCAGAACGCCCGTACTATGTCTGAACTCAGCCGAGATTTCCCCCGCACGAGCAGACAAGACGCAGCTAGAGCTGCAGCAGTAGGATCCGCCATTTCTCCACTGACAAGTTTCCGGAGTCCTGCCTCGGCCCATCCATCTTTCACACCATGCCTCGGACTCTCTCGACTCTTCCTCCCTCCAGCGCTGCCCCAGCTCAGTCAGGCCTTCGGGGACTGTCCCACATTCATAAACGACCTCTTTGACATACCGACGACTTTAACGGCACTTTCCGATCCATGTGGGGGCTCTTGTCGGCGTTGGCTGAGAAAACCGGCAAAATTCAAATCCAAGGATACGGCAGGGGCCTACGTACACACGTGTATAGTCAAACTGGACCGTTTATTAGACCTACGGTACCCTTCCATGAATAGCCTGCAGCGCTCACTGCTGTTGTCGCGAAGAAGTCAACAATTTGAACTGTACAGTACCGTAGTGCCGTGCCGCTCCTGCACACGACGTAAGCTCGTAGTTCTGAGCTTGCACAGTCTGCGATCCCAGTTGCAGGGCGTACTGCAGTGCAGTGGATTTTTATCCACATCCGCTTGGTACGATCGTGTGCGAAACCATGGCAGTTCACCGGACTTCGACATTTCATTTTGAACTGGGTTGACTTCGTAGACTGTGCTTTTTCCACGGATCGAGGATCTATCAACTTTTTAAACGTGTGTCAGATCTCATATAGGTTTCCCTACCATACTTAAGACCAATTTGACGTTTCGACTGACCCTTATGGACCATAAGTTATGGTCCATCAGGAAATTCGAATAAAATTATTCACGTAAGTCATGAGGGTAAGGATTGCATTTTAACATTATATACACAGTAATTTCAAAGACAACCTTGTGGACGTGCAATGCTCATACATCCAAATTCAGCTACGTCTTTTACATTCATTCTTAATAGATTGAATATTTTTTTGTACCAAGGGTGCATGCTTTTGAATATTGGATTACTGTTGTGAAAGGTAATATATTCTCATCAGAAAATGATTTTCCCCAAAAAAATTACGGGATTGGAACCTTCCGAAACATAAATAGTTTACTAAACCCAACAAATATACTTTTATCTAACGTAATATACTCTCATCAATTAATTCTATTCCCAAAAAATTACTTGATTGGAACACTACCGAATATAAATAATTTTTAGTACCCAAAACCTATCTTTTATCCAATGGTACTCCAGCGAAGGCACACTTCGCCCATATTCTGTTCTAATATAGATAGACGGTTATTCTAACATAGAGAGTGGTGTTATGGGACGGTCAGCAAAACAGGAAAACTAACAAGAAGGAGTGGGGTTGAGAGGAGGCCACGGACTTTTGAAATATTTTGATGCGGGAGTTCCTGAACTATGAGACGAGATGTACGATGAGTTTCACTGCATTGCTCTTAGTGGCCCAAACTTTACAAGATGTAATTTAAATGTAGGCTTTTGCTAATCACTATGAGATCATTATAAGATTTACTTTTCATTCTAGAATGTGGGATTAATTGATATTGGCCTAAGACGCAGAGGCACAGGAAACGTTGGAGAGCAGGTTTAATAATGTGATTGCAATCAACTGGAGAAGCAGGCAGCTAAAGATACTTTTAAGATAAGACGCCTCACATAAGGAGACAAATAATGAGATTATAAATGTTTATAAAATTTGACAATGTGGAAAAATAATCACAGTGTGGGAGCATAAACCTCAAAGTTGTTAGACACAAGCACATATGAGTATAACAAGAGGCGCAGAGTTTTCTTTCGTCTACAATTACTGTGACCAGCGGCACTCCAAATGACTAGTATTAGTAAGTATGGATGTGAGTCATTTTTCGTCACAGCACATGACGGGAAGTCGACCTGGAGAATGCGAGGTGATGATTAGAAGCTCAAAAATGCTTATAGCTACTTGCAGGATCTAATAATTAAAAATATCTTACGAAACATTCCGTATCATATTCATTTGTTCATTCATAGTTTCGTGAGACAAGATGCAGCATTTGGTTATTGCTTGATCATAGTGAATCTCAAATGATAAAAATTGGTCTATTCTAAATACGTGGTCCGCTTCTCCTCAGACGAGCAACTCAGTTCACTTTCTCTTGTGTTTTCTGGTTCCAACCTTGGATTGATCTACTAACAGATTGGAGTTCAAAGACTGATCTCGCCCATTTGTAGCTCATACTAGAAAGTAACCCAAAAATTGTCCGAGGATTTTGAAGAAGTCATCTCAATCGAGTCAAGATTACAGATTGAATCGTGAAGTTGATATTACTTGATGCTTGTAATCAACTGTACACTGATGGGACGTACTCTGATACAGACAATAAATAGTTGAAGTAAAAGTCGCTAAAAGATACTACAAAATCACGACGAGAGGCAACATGAAGTCCTGAACACAACGTGCGGAGGATCTCCTTTCCCTTCTTCTTCTTCTTTTCGTTGAGGTCTCGTCGTGCCTTCAACATAACGATCGAGCCCAGACTCGGTCTAGGCTATAATTACTATAATATTTTGTAGGTATTGATGATTGTGTGTGGTTGGTGAGGTCATATCAGGTGAAAAGAGTACCCGTTTGCTATTTGTGTTACGGAGAGTTCCCATCAAGTAAAATTTTTCTTGGGCTTAGTCAATCTATCACTCTCTTGATTTTCATGTATGATCATAACTACTTTCTATTAAGTACTGGTTAATTTGACCTTATGCCCATTTAGATAGTAGAGGATTGATGACCAGAGTGTCATTAGATTATTTCATTTTTTAATTGAGCATGAGAGATATATCTCACATAAATTAACTAGAAAAGATATATACAAGCATTTTACTTGTTAGTGAATGAATGATTTGTAATGTGTTTTTTGAACCTTCGGATTCCACTTGATCTCTTTATCATTTATACTTGATTTAAAATAACAAGTTGTGTTTGTATATGATATCATTACCTATCCAACATGATATTTGAGAATAATCATACAAGAGAAGGGGAGTTTTTAGACACCTTGTATTGACAAGGAAAAATTTGCACTCATATATGTTGTGAGTGTAGGATTAATCATTCTGTGATTAATGATGTGATTCAAGTAGAAGCTCCAATATAGATGGAACAAAGTCCTGAATAGCAAGAATTAAAGCAATAGGTTATACTTTTTGAACCTCAAGTGTCTACATTAGACAATACACATCAACCATAATACTATACCATGATATCATCAAATTAAATTGGTTGGATTTTTTTAGTGCATGGATTATGGATTGATTCATCGATTCTAAAAGATTATGATATTCATACAAAAGATGATGATGGAACTGCATTGATCCTAGAAAAAAAGAACTGTTTTAAGAGAAATTCAAGTTTGAGTCAAACACTTGAGTGGAATGCCGCTCTAGATTGTGACATATAGTTGTTGATAGATAACAAGACATGAAAGCTAATAAAGTTTTCAAAAAATCAAGCTTTGATTGATTGCAAATATATGTAGAAATTGAAAGAGAATTCAATAGGTAACGAGAGACAAATCTAGGTGAATGGTTAGAAATTTCACATAAGAAAAAAATGTAAACTATAAAAAAGTATTAACATCTATAACAAAGTATGTTTTAAGTTACCTGATGTGTGCACTTGCTATTATATTTAGTCTAATTATGGATCTGATGATTAAAGTTATTGCATTTTTCTATGGTTCTCAAGAGTAAGAAATATACATGAGAGAACTAGTTGGTTTTGAAGAAAAATGTCAAGAAAATTTGGTATATAAATTGTTGAAATTATTATATAACTTGAAAAAAAATTCTTAGAGAGTGGATTGAAAGATTTGATGAATTCATGGAAGCACAAGACTTTTCACTAAGTCTTTATGATCCTTGTGTACACATGAAAAAGTTGAATAATGAGATACTCTATTTTATTATTCTAGTAGTTTACTAAAATGACATGCTCATCTTGGCTAAGAATCAATTTAACATTAACATATACATAATAGCTGAATTTTAAATTGAAAATGAAGATATGAGTAAGTACAAGAAGATGTTAGGGATGGATATTCATAGAGGCATAGTGAAAAAAGATCATGGTTGAATCAAGTCAAGTATGTTTAACATGTGCTTAACAAGTTTAAGATGACAGACTTTAAAGTAATATAAACACTTTTAACAACACACTTCAAATTTTCCGTAGTTCAATGTCCAATTAATGGATTGAAATTTTTTAATGTCATCAGTTTACCATGAAAAAGCTTTGAATAACTTCAAATATTTGATGATGAGCATAAATCTTGATATTGCTCAAGCAATATTCAATGTGAGTATGTTTATGTCAAACACAAGAAAGTTGCATTGATAAGGGGTGAAATTAATTCTTAGGTATTTGAAGAATATAAAGTATCAATGATATATTGTTTGATAACAATTTTTACTCATAAAAGCTTGGTTGAGAAGAAGTATATGCAACTTTTGAATCATAAAGAAAATCTGCTCTATTTGTTAGCTTACAAATTTTACAATATGTTCTCACTTTGATGCGTAATAATATCATTTATAATGATATTACAATAATTTGTGTACTTAATCTCAAATTTATACTATGAATATCATATTGTTTTTTAATTAGAACAATCAAACAATATCAAATCTTTGTTACGTTGATGCTGACTATGAACAAGATCAAAACAAGAAAAAATCTACAACTTGATATGTGTTCATATTTGGCTAATGGTTGTATCAGTTTGAAATGTATCTTTAGGATGTGTGTAATTCAATCTACAATGTAAGCTTGACATATAGCGGAAATAGAAGCAATAAAGTAAATTATTTTGTTGATGAACCTTATCATTGAGATATTATTGCAACAAGAGTTTATCAATCTTCAATATGATGATCAATGTGCATTACATCTTGCTCCAAATCAAATGTTGAATAACAAAGTGAAACCTATGGACATCATGTATCATTTTATCATACATGCAGTTTTTGAAAAAAAAAAATTGAAGTAATTAAAATTGACGATAAATTCAATCCAATTTATGTATTGATGAAAGTTATTGATTAGTTTCAGAAAGCCACAACAACAATCTTGATACTTGTCTACAATGTTTGAAATGAAACGACGTGGACAAAGTTTAACCACTTCTGTTGGCATCACCAAACAAAATATGCCATCTGCATTTGCATTTTGATTATCGATGTTCTTCTTAGTCTCAATATTTTTCAACCCATTTTTTAACCCAATTAATATGATACTGAACTTAGCAATCTATGACAACACAAATGTCTAATCAATTGCACTAAACTACACATTTTTCAGTTCATCAATTAATATGATAATGACCTTAGCAACCTATGATAACACAAATGTCTTATGAATTGTCTTAACTTCAACGCATAAGATGTTTGTGCTAAAATGATGTAGTTCGTTTTAAAACTCCTCATGAAAATTTTGTAGATTCAAAACATCCAACATATGACGTACAAACTATTATGTATATTAAAAAAAAGCATCTAAAATTTTTCATCTCATAAAAATAATTTTTTTTAAATTTCACCTTTTTTTTTAATAACTCCAAATTTTAGTAGTTTTGGTGTAATCAGTTAAGCTTTCCAATTTTAACTTTGTGAAAAAATACAATTTTTTATTTCATTAGCATTGTATACATTAAGTAACTTTGGATGTAGCTTTTGATATGCTTTTTTGTGAAAAAATTCATGATATTCAAATATAAAGCAACATAAAACAATGTACTTTTGTCTAGTTAAAATTTATTTTATATTGTGTGTTTACATTCCTTACACAAAGAAGTTTCAACACAATAATCTAGCATCAAATATTCAAATTTTTTGTTCATTGATTAATTTTGATAAATCACATAATCTAAATGGTATATATATATATATATATATATATTCGTCATCATACTAATAAAAATCGATTTTCCTTCATGTTTCGATTTTTTAATTTGTTAAGCTTGAGTACCTCTATTTAATCTATGTGGATCCAAGAATGTTTAAAAATCAGTATGAAATCAATAATTTTATGTTAAATCCTCTAATAATACCATTTTTTAGAAAATTATGACATTTATAAATTCGACATGTTTACAATCATACATTTCATAACATATGTGGTGAAAAGAATGAATACATCTCCAAACAATCCATGAAAATATACTCATTGCCAAATATCAAAATTTAGATATAGGAATGCAAATATAATACACATAATATTATATCAGATATTACATAAACAACATAATACAGATAATAAGTTTAAAACACATTTATCACTCAGTAATTTTGCTTTGACAAATTCATCATTAATTTTTAGAGTTCTAAGAAACATATTAAACTTAGAAGTTATTAACTTAATTTAAACTTAATTGTTAAGATAATTAAAAATTATAGGTGAAAATTAATTTTGATTTTCATGCATATCTAAGAGTAATATATATAAAATTTAGTGTATTTTTTGGATTCAATTCATTGCTAAATTGATTATTTTTTAGTTCTTATTTTGCTAACATTTATTCATAACGTAAATATACAACACATACGTAAAAGTTTTAATTGTGAAAATTTCATCTTTCTATCAATCATAAAAATCTGATTCTTGATGTCATTTTATTAAATAAATAAATTTAAATTATTTATATAGATAAGATTAATATATATAAAATCATTTGAAATATCAACTTGTCATAATTTGAAAATTTTAATATAATTCAATTTTTAAAAATGTTGAAAAATTTACAAATTTTTTATACTCCTGATGCATATGTATAAAAAATGATTTTCATGAGATAAAAACGAAAAGTGTCTACAAAACCCACCTACTATGAACGCACAAAACACATTTCTAGACATAGGATATTGTCAACCAGAAGATGTAAATTGGGTAACTTGCCGCATGCATAATGTTTCTTTCATCATTTGCTTACTTTTGTCATTGTGATAGGAAACTTGTTTTAGCATAACTAATCCATAGAGTTGACACATACTTGAAGTCTGGAGCCAAAATTGAAGAAAGCCCCATCAATTCGATCTAATACGCTGGGAATGAAAGAACATAACACTCAGCCGTATGGGCCAAGAGCGAGCAAGGTACAGTATAGAACAACCAACCACTACCACAACCGAAACTCAATATTTATAGTCAATTGTCAGAGTGCCTCCAGATCTAGGAAGACATATTGTCAAAAGGGTCCACATTGTGACCCCCAGTGGTGGAATGTGTAATTGTTGATCCTATGAACGCTGAACGAGAATCCTGAGTATGAAGCTAAAGAAGGTGCATCGGCGTTCATCAAGACGTTGTCACCTCCCTTGAGGAATAATGTCTCAGGAACGAGTGTCTTGTCAAACCATGATTCATGCGTCAATTGGAGGAGTTCGCTCTATAGGTAGTTTTCTCTCGTATTTAGGAAGACCTGGTATCCACCATTGCCACAAACCCGGAGTTAAAAGTATTCCCACCTTTCTATTGGTTTGGAACCTATTCGGATTCTTGAGACTACGAATTACCGCAGGGTACTGGTCTAGGGGTATGGAGTGCAAGCGGGTGGAATTGATGCGAAGAGCTTCGGATGAAGCAAGAGAAAGCCAGCAGGTTACCCTGAATGGAAGCAGCAATGAGAAACAGGTGATGCGGGTGTCAGTTGAAGAAACTGGGAATGACAATGAAGTACCAGTGAAACAAGAAGTAAGCTCGTGAGTAAGAATAAGTTAGTCTCAAAAAAATGGAAACAATGATTATCATCTCTCACCAAACTCCAATTTCCCCTGTGCCTCAGAAGATGATCAACCGAGTCGACCATACTGCGGCTATGTGTTGTCATCTGCGCATTGAAGCTTTCAGGTGTATGCGATCGAGTCTTTCATGAATGATTGAACACGATATTGGCTGGTTAAATGTGTCATTCTACTGAAAATTTATAGCAAAACTTGGATATTGGATGACATAGAGTAATGGATTATCATGCTGTACTTTGCGGAGTATTGATTTGTCACATCTAGATATACACTTAGTTATAATGAGATTGCACTTGAAGCCTTTCCACTTCCACTTTTGTTCATTCTTTTCCCAAGGTGGGTGACCGGAATGGAGACAAAGCGCCCATTCTTTGGTTACAAAGCGGAGGACTCTGAGCATCCCAATCTGCTAGTCACCAGTGAAATAAACCTCATGAGCAAATTAGCTGTGAGAAGAACTCAACAGCTTGAGCCGGAGTTGTCTCCGTGTTTATTGCATTAAACGGATACCGTCTTTCACAGGAACTATAATAATACAACATTATAAGCAGATGGCAGATCAGCTGCGGTGCCCTGACATGGGCAAGGCAATCGTGAACATGTCGTTCTTCGCGACTCGCAGAGAGAACGATGAACGGGACAGAAAGAAAGCTCTATGAAACATGCTGCCCGATTTTAGAATACAGATGGTATTTACACAATACGCAATGGTACAAAATCAATGCCTCCCCCTTTGGCATGGAGGCCTGCCTGATCGTTGCCAAATCTTCTTCCTCGTGACGCAATGATTTCGCGAGTGATGGATCTCCACGCACTATTGGTTGAGATGGGGACGGAGCGATACTCTAAAAGCCAATCGATCAGTCACTTTTTCGAAAGAGAAAAGACCACAAGCCCACCAAACAGCCTCGGTCCTCCGTTTGGTAACCTGGGTAAGCCCGGCCTTTGATGACGAGGTCAACGTTGAGGTCAGTGGTGTCGGCTTTGCGCAATTTCACGTGCTGGAACATGCCTTCATCCGCAGCAGGAGCTGGACTCCTCTTCCTCTTTCGCAGAATCACGACCTCGGTGATACAGGAATCGCAGACCGGACATATGATATCATGCGTGCGCTGAGTTTGCATCAAATGCTCGAGTGCGCAGAAGTCTCGCGAATACTTACAGGGGTCATTTCTTTCTTCATCTGCTCCGTCTGCGTCGGCGAGTGCGAAGGTCTCCTCCCAGGGCCAATCCTCGATGAACATGTTGAAGGCGGTCGACGCGGTCTCAAAGAACACCAATTCCAGTATAGGCCGCTCCACGGAGATATGGCACCGTACTTGAAAAACAGAGCGCATCCTCTATTTCAGTTTCCATTCACAGTTTAGCGCAATTGAGGAACGCACAACGAGGCACAGTCTTCTTCTACATCTATGTTAGCAATAGCAGCCCTAGAAGAAGCCCTACGAGCAGGATAGTGTTTGAGTTTTTGTGTGATGAAGATCAGGATCATGTCAAACGGTGATGGCCGTGGAATCCTCGCAACGCAAGGCCAATGTCATCAAGAAAACATGCAGCGGCAACTGGCACCTCGACGGCATCGACCATTGACAGTCCATCATGCTCTCTCTTTCTTTCTAAACCACCCCGCATGCTCTGTCTGTGACGCAACTCTGGCGCCCATCGCTCATCGCTGCCTCTCCTTCCTTTACACGCCGTAGGGGCAGCCGGGCACAGCATTCCATATCACAGGGCGTGGCAGCAATCAAATGACCGCAAGTATGAACTCTGGGAAACTCACCACTCACCTCTTTTCTAGAGGGAAGCAGCAGCAGAGAATTCTGACAGTGCGCATCGCAGGTCATCTTCTTCCCGGACCCCCGACCTCGAACTCCGGAGTGAATCGAGCCAGACCTGGTCCAAATCAGATCTCGAGCGGGTAACCGATCTGAACACTCTATGATGCTCGATGATGTGGAACGGATCTCGAATTTCATCACTGGCCCGGCGGTGCTTGTGGAAGCGTACTTTGCAGCCTATATAGATAGAACGTACTAGCGCAAGCCGCTCTCGTAGGATCCTGACCAAAGAAGGTGCGCTCGGGGACACACACTGCACTGTGCGAGCCCTGCACCACCTTCTCTGTCATGTTCATTCGACGGGGGCCTGCAATTTAAGTCAAAGGCTAGATGCAGCGATTGCTCGTCGCTGAGCCCAGGCTTGACAGAAGGCGGCGCTCCAGATGTGAAGCATCGTGGATCGCAGGACATGCACAGTCGGGAAAATCCTCGGTTTCCTAGGCTTGTAGTCTGCCGCTTCTCGCTCCAACTCACGCCATCATGATCTCCACTGACCCCAACCCCTGACCTCGCCACCCTCCAAGGCTCCCCAGTGTGTAAGAATTCATTTGCACGAACAGCGCTCTCTCTATGGCTGCTGCATGCGGCAAGCGCTACGAAACAGTGCTTTTTTGTGTTGTTCTGTACCTGGCTCCTGACTGCTCAGTCCAAGATGCCACTCCATTCATGTCTCGGTCTGGTCGACGGAGCTCATCGAATTTACGGATTTTGTCTTCTCGAACTCACTGCGAGCAAATGGCGAACACGGTTGCAAACATTCCGAACATTCCCAACATTTTCTATTGATGAGATTCATCCTCAGAATCCAACTTTTCCCCAGCTTTTGCGATGTGAAAAGGAATACACATCAAAGCTTTCTCACGTCAGAAGCTGAGGATGCTTTTGCTACTTTACTTTACAGTGCAGTAACTGCTGTAGAGAAGAACTCTCCACACTCTTTGGCTGTCCAATTATTAGTGTGATCCAGAATATTCACTTCTGTGTTGAAATGGTTTGGATGAACACAGTGCAGATTAAATCAATCAGAGGATGATATTAAAGTTGGATATACACGAATTAGCGAGGAAATGAGACAAGCACTTTGTCCATGGTGAGAAGCAAAGCAATAATCTTTGCATAATCCTGGTGCAGAAAACCTGCAGATGCCCTGCGAGGTGAATCAATCTTTGTTTGATCTTACAGCCCTGGTGCTCTGGATCAACGACATGCTGGAAACTTAACCTGGGTTTGACTGCAATAACCTTAACTTCACCTTAGTACAGTATACTTGACGCCTACCTTGGACCAAATTTTTGAAAGGTGCTAGCTATGTCTTGTCCGTCACTCGGTTTCAGAGCAAGCATTTTCCAGTACCTCTCACGAACTGCGGTTCAGCTAATTCAGGCATGATGAAGATACTGCACACGTTGAAGGACTGTTGCAACTCTGGCATCCTAATGCCGTGGTAAGATGAATGGCGTAGGAATATGCGCCATGTATGTAGCTGTATGTAGCTAACCGTAGCGCCTCTCTTGAAGCAGTGCTCTCCATTCTGCCCATTTGCCTCCTTGTTGAACTGCGGCCAGATTTTTCTGTCATGTCTTTAACCCCACAGCAGAAAAATATCTTCTTGGACAGAAAAGAATAACTGACTCTTACGACTGGTGAACAGACGAAAGTGTGGCAGAAAAGAATAATTATGTTCGCCATCATATTCTCGAGGCCAGTCTGAGTCAGACTGCAATCTCTGTTTAATGCGCATGTTAAGCTGTATGTTCATATTCGAAGGTACAAATTGATATCTGAATCAGTACAATCTTTATTCTAATCAGTACTTCAATATTTTTTGTTTGTTGTGTGTTTGTACAGTACAAGGACACAATTCTGTCAATCTTATCATCTGTAGACGACAATATCCGGATCCCTGATATTCTCATGTGTAGCAGATTTTTTTAATCTTTTCAAGCTCACTGACGCTGGGACACAAAAATTCAATCATCAATCCAGGCTTCCAACGTAAACCAATGTGCTTCTGAAACATTAAATTTTTATAAAATATAAAGTAATTATTCTATTGAAGGCGACAAGGTTTCATGGTGTAGTGGTTATCACGTCTGCTTTACACGCAGAAGGCCGCGAGTTCGAACCTCGCTGAAACCTCTTTTTCTCGTGCAATCACGTTCTAGTTCGGGACGTCGACAGTATCTCCATTTGCAAGGAAGAAACCTCTTTTTGTCGTGCAATGACGTTCTAGTTCGGTACGTCGACAGTATCTCGATTTGCAAGGAAGAAAATAGTTCGAAAAGGGTTTTTACAATATACCGATCTCAAAACGTACCGACAAATCTCTCGACTTGCAAGAAATAAAATAGTTATCAATTCGTAGAAAACTACGAATTGCTAGAGAGAAAGTTATATACGGTATGAAATATTGGAAGTATAGAATGTAAAACCTAAGTCACCTTTTCACAATCTATTTATTTCCCACTCCCATCCCAAACGAAAGTTTGAATAGATCTCTCCTGTACACAAATAACAATTTATTTTATCTGATCGGACTTTTCCACGACAGCCATGCAGTCCACGTCATACATGTATTAATATGAATTCTTGTAGTCTAATAGTTGGGAACTATAGTGTGGTGGGAGGAATTGCATTTATCGGATCAAAGTCCTATCAAGCAATATTTTGGCCATGAAGCCAAGTAATAAAAACTATCATGCAAATCTTGACACTAAAAAATTGAAGCTCAGTTCACACTTTTGTTCTATTCTTGTTACTTATTGTCATTTTGATTGTTGGGAAGCTCGTTCCAGCTATCAAAATTGTGAGCTTGTCTCTTTGTCAATAAAATTTGTTTTGAGAGCTCTTCGATTGTCAAAAAATTGCGTTTGTAGATGCTTAGTCGATGGGTTTTGAACTTTCACTCATGATATCTTGCTCGCATTTTATAAAATCCGTTGGAGGATAGTCTGATTTCTATTTTTCTGTTACGTATGGGCCGTCCACTGGGATCCAATACCCAATGTGGATCGTACACAATCCATAACTCGTTTTGGAACATGGATGACTATGTGGTTGCAGGGCGTCGGAGTATACCATCATATATGTGTTGGATTTCAAACAGTGTTTTGCGTTCCGTAAAAAAATCATGAAACAATTTTCTCGTTGATTGGGAATAGCGTTTGTTGTATGATTTTTGTTTCAGTATTTTGAATCTTTGTTGAATAAAATATGATGTTATGCTACAAATCCAATAAGTTCAAGATTCTGTAGTATTGAACGGCAAAATTTACAAGTTAGTGATCAAAATTGACAGTGATTTATAATCAATTTTCAAACCAATATGTGTTTGTTTCTATCGACTTAACACTATCAACAATATTTTGTTCTTGCATTGGCATTAACACATTTGATATTTTTGAATCTCAACTTGATTTAAATCATGCAACTCTTTTATTTACAATCTTATTGGCTAAGACAATCTCAACGTGCCATTCTCTTTTAGCTTATTCTAACTTTTGGTTAGATCATAGTAATAAACATCTTTATAAGCTACATTTACAAGTTTTTTGAATCACACTATATGGAGACCATATCCACATATTTCAAGTTTACAACTTTTCAAATTGCTCAAAACATTGATTCTAAGTTCTTTTCTTGGCATAGAGATAGAAGTGTTAGGAAGCTGATTTATAATGAATGATTTGATTTTGATTCAAGCAAGCAAGGACAAAATTTGGGTGTTTATGATACATCAGACAAATTCTATGTATTTTCTCGAAAATGTTATAACCACAGCATTCAAAAATACAAAACTGTTTAAGATTTGAGTTCAGCAATGTCAGAATTAGAATGCAATTCTGAAAACAAAGATAAACTACTTCATTCATTCTTGTAAGCTAAATTGAAATTTTGAACAATTAACCAAGCGGGAGTGAAATCTTTCGCACGTCAAACTATGGATAGTTCAGCATTTGCTGCGTTGGTTCAGGACGGGAGATGTAACAATGAATGGCCCCGCCAATATTCGGTAAAGAATTCATTGATCATCAAAGTCGGCTTATTATGACAAGGCTTTAGTGTGAAGCCTAAGAAACAAATATTTTTATGCCGGAAGCAAGACTCATTAACAAGGGAACTGCTGGAGTACCTCAAAGCTTTTTAGAGATGATTAGGAGCAGGTTATTTAAATCATATTCTCAATTTCAAGTCATTGATTTCTTTTGATAGTAAGCTATATTTATTCAACGATGTTAAATCCATGTCATGTTGTGAAGTAATAATTGACTTATATATTGTATCATTTGCTGATTGAATTTTCCAGGTGAGAAGTAGATTGTATTGGACTGATCATCATCAAAGTATTGGAGAATGCTGCTATATGTGGTTTTTGTGCAATCTTGTCATTTCAGAAGATTGTTTCTATTCATACATCAAGAAAGAAGAACTTGGTGATAAACTATTGCATTATCATGATAGATATTGTTTCTGCCAAGTTGTTTGGCAAATTGATAGAGTCAAAGTTGAGTACATGGACTGAATATTTCCAAAAGATATCATGGATTTAAGGAGGTTTTTGAATTATATACAATACCATTGCCCCCATATGTTGGACTTACGTGGTTTATGGTAGAAATCTTAGAGTCATGGAAAAGCTTTGTTTTGGAGCTTCATCGATTTCAAGAAAGATTTTAATATTGTATCTCGTCATCTCTTATGCTCTAAAAGTCATTGGATTTTCATCAAATCTTCTAGCATCATGTTATATCATTATGTTTGTATCAAAATCAACAAATCTCAAACTCAAGATATCTTGAGTTTCATTAAATTCATTCAAAGTTGTACTATCTTTCCTTTTCTTTTTGGAGTTTTCATAGATGATATAAATGGTTGGAGTAATGTGGTAGCCAAGGTGTTAAGCTTTAATACTTTGTCATCAAAGTTGTACTGCGTATGATATCATATTACTAACACATGACATTAGTTTAAAAAACACCTAGAAATTTTGACAAGATTATGTATTCATAATAAGATGAAGATTAATACAAAGAAGTCTAAAGTCAATATAGTGGAAATTGGATCCAAGTTTGTGTTTTTTTATAAAGATTTACTATTAGATTAAGTGAAAGAATACAAATATATAAGTGTTGATTTTTCTAGAAACTGTAGTTGAACATTTGGCGTGCAAAAGAGAGTAGAAGTTATATGCAAAAGAGAATAGAAGCTAGTTACAAAGAGTACAAATTTATGATCAAAGTGGTATAAAAGAGTACGTCTAGTGTCTTGGTATTTTAAAAAATCTTGATTAAAAGATTAGTGTTGACCGTAGTTTCATATGGATTCCAATTAAGTTTGTAAGAAAACAAGTTTGCAGCGCATGAAGAGGATGCAAAAGATATTCTTACAAGAAAAAAATGGGGGAACAAATTCAAACTCTATATGTTATTGTCCTTGCGGAGACATGTTATCTACCTCTAGAACTGAAGTTCTTTACTTGACCATCACTTACATAAGGAAGATGAAATATTTTTATGTTTTTCGCTTTCTTCTTCAATATTAGAGTGCCATACGTTCCATTGAATGCTTTGCGGATGTGTTGACTTGATCTTTGAAGTGAAATCTGGCAGATCATCATTAGAAGTTGCAATTGAAGTCACTTTACAAACATAAAATGACATTTTTTCAACATTATTTGGATCACACTAGACACAAAAATGCAGTTTTATCAACTTCATGTTAAT